TTCTTTACACTTGGTCATAAATGTTCCTCATACCTATCATTCGGTTATGCTTTTAACCTTGTGAAAATATTGATTAAAATGTTTGATTTTTAAGATAAAAAATAAAAAAAAATAAAATAAAATAAAAATACGCGCTATGAATTGAGCAGTCAGTTTTACGAACGAAATTTCTATAATGACAGAGAGCATTGAAATAAATTATAATTTAGTAGAAGACAAATATTTATTTGTCGTGTGTGATTTTATCTCCAGAAAAAGATAATGTAACTAATGCACTTAAATATACGAAATAGACGTATTCGAAACAAGTAGTGCCGTACGACTGACAATATTTTCTATGAATAGTAAAAATATTTTCAAGCAATTCAATAATTGGATTTTTCAGTCATTAGCATTACGTCAAAATATGATTTTTCCCGGAAACGTAATTGCCTTCGAAATTTGGTATTATTTAAAAATATTGTCAACTGCGTCAATCTTAATAATAATTATATTGCGACACTTCAAAATATTCAGTTATTGCAGTTTTTAACACGCAATTTTTTTTTTTCACAATAATATTTATAACCTTTAAATATTCATGAAAATAAAATAAGAAATAACTTTCAAATATTATTCCATTGTTCGTTATCTTTACAGTTGTTCCTTTCCCCGTAAATTCAACTATTCAACTGACAAATAAATTAAACGACAGATTTTAATTTATCGTTTGTGTCTCTCTCAAATAAAATATGCAATCACTAAAAGATCAGAAATTGTTTTCCAGTAAATTAAAAGTAAAAAAGAGTGAAAGTAGAAAAGGAGCTCTAAAGGAATTAAGGAATACTAATGAAAAATTAACGTTTTCATGTATAAAGTATGAACGATAACGACTGACATTAAAATTAATTATACGTATCAGGAAACTATTAATTAATAGAATTATTGTGAGAGTGCATATGTGATGTCGGGGGGGGGGGGCATGGTAACAAAATGGACTTTCTGTATGATTTGATAAATTTTGATAATTTCGGTTCAGATAAGAGTTGATACGAACATTAAATTCGCTCTTACAGATATAATTCTTCATTCGTGATTAATAATAGATAAAATCCTTTGTCCATAATTCAGTTGTTTGACTTTTCGTCGAAGGAAAAGTATATTTCACCAAATTAAGAGATAAATTCATTCGAGATAAGTGTAATGTAACAAAAGTTTCAACTCTAGGTAAACTGTACAAAGTAACATTAAAATAAATAATATGCGTTACGGATGAAAACGATTGGGATTTGTGTAGATGATTGTGTCATGTTGAATAATAGAGCAAATGAAAAAATTCCGTTGAGGGAAATACAGCAACCAAGTGCAGGATAGGTAATTGTAGCGCTCAAAAATCCGAAGCGAATCAATAACGGCTGTGCGTTACGCTGTAGGTCTTTAACGTTTCGAAAATTTCCCATTATGTGGGTTAACCTTAACGAACGACTGTCCGGATCTTTCTTATTATTATTATTATTATTATTATTATTATTGTGTCATTCCTCTGAAGATGAGGGCAAGGGGGGTTTGATACGTGGCGGTGGGAGATCTACGGTCTCTCTTGCCGATTCGTCTTGCTGAAAAAACCGACTTGGGTGAAAATTGAACGGCAATTAGCACAGAGATAAAAATCGATCGATCCACGAAGAAAGGCTGACTCCTCGGGCGAGTCGAAGGTGGTGGCTAGGAAAACGGGAGCAAAGAAAACGCGAGGGGGTGACTCGCGACCCTAAGGGCAGCAGCCGCGCGCACGTTGCGCGGGTCATGAATGGAAGGCTCGTCACCGGGAAGGGCACTAGAGGGGGATGTCAGTGGTCTCAGGGCGAGGCGGGGAGAGGGGGACCTCGACTACGGTATCGATCCCCGTGGACGTTGCGCCTGCTCGTTGGCCGGGCGCTGCCGGCGTCGCGGCGCTCGACTGTCGACGCTCGCAGGCACAGGAGAACCGCCCAAGGGAGCAGAACGAGGCGGGCGAGGTGGGCCCCACCAGCCCTCCCTCCTCCTCCACCGCCACCGCGAGCATCGAGGCTCCCGGGCCCAGAAGCAGCGGCGCACGGGGGCCACGTAGGATGCGCCCGGGGCGTTCAGCAACTGTGCGCCCAGCCCCCCAGCGAGGCCGACGATGGGCCCGATGAGCAGCCGCGAGAGCCACCTCGAGGTCCACGACGAGGACGGCGGCCTCCAAATTAAGTCGCGCGGCTGCGGCAGCGTCCACCACGAGCCCGTGAGTAGTATTACCGCGATCGATAAGCTTTTAGGGCAGCGGTTGTGGAGATGGAGTCGTGTGAGACGGGGGAATGTGAGACGCGCGGGGGTGGTTACGGCGTCGAGACAGTCCCGATTAAGTTCTCCGGCATCGACGACGACGACGCTGCTGCTACCCCCGCCGCTGCCGGGACGAGCTCCCATCAACGGGGACGGCGAGGGTAACGTCGACGGCGACGGTGACGGGATGACGGTGGTGGTAGGGTCGTCGGTGGTGGTGGCGGTCGCGGTGACGGCGCCCCCCGCGCTGATAAAGTGCTTCTCGCACTTTGGCGGTGCGCGTTCAGCCGGCGCTGCCACCGCCGCAACCGCTGCCGCTGCCACCGCCGCCGCTGCCGTCGCGGAAATCGGGCAACTAGGGACGGCCGCGGGCCGCAGTACGTTTTCCGCGCGCAACCCACGGCCGTCGCTGGAGAGCCGAGAGCGGAGGTCCTCGACATGCCGCCCAAAAATAAGGTACGATGACCCGATCGCCCGGACGATTCGTCCTTGTCGAAGGCAGCGCCGCGAGGTCCTAACCATCAAACGCACTTGTCATTTGAAACTTGTGCGTACTTGTTTATCGTTAGCGCCGATATGCGAAACGATTTTTCTGACTTGAAATCATATTGTATTGCAGTTACTGGACCAAGTTTTTCTTCTTCTTTTTTTAACACAAGTAGCTCAATTTATTTAAATTCTATATATACCGTGCGGATCGTTTAAATTACAATTGTAATGGGATTTTTCATTTTTGATTTATGTTTTTCGACGAGTAACATTGATTGCGCTCACGTGCACGAGGATCGGTTGATTATCTCCTAAATGTGTCTTCGCGTTTAACCGATTTGCGAAGCAAGAATTCTAACAATTAGTTTGAACTTACCAATGCTATTGTTATATTAAAAGACCAAGACTAGGGGAGTTAAAACAATAAAGCCGAAGATATAGAGAGAGTGCGCGCGCGCGCGCGCGTGTGTGTGTGTGTGTGCGTGTGCGCACGCGCGTGCGTGTGTGTGCGAGAGAAAGAGCGAGAGAAGGTGGGAGGGAGTGGATGAAAGAGAGCGACAGTGAGAGAAACAGAGATGGTCGGCGGAAAGATGGGAGGTGGGGTGGACGGGATGAGAGATGCGAGAATAAAACCAGAAGCAAATTGATAGATTTTTGTATGCAGTGAGGGTAAGGTAAAATGAGCTATTATATACTCCTTGTAAGGAAAGGCGATGAATAATAATTAAAATCGGGGAGTTGTAAAAGTTAACCGGAATTATTATCGGTAGCGTGGAGCATCGCTACGGAAATATTAAACGAGAGTGAAAGGATTCGGATTGGTGTGAAAATTTTAGAAGCATTGCATCTACTGGCAGTATACTTTCAGCCAGGACGCGCTCCGTCTAGTTAAAAGTGGTTTGTTATGCGACGTAAAAAAATAGTAGAGAGAGAGAGAGAGAGGGAGAGAGAGAGAGAGAGAGAGAGAGAGAGAGAGAGAGAGAGAATGAGCGAGCGAGAGAAAAGCCAGAAACATCATCGATGATTAGACTGGCGATTGGGCTTGTCTTATCGAGCAAGCCCGACATTTTCGGGAGACGCGAGGTGGTAGTACCACCGGTGATAACACAAAATTCATAGGTCGCAAGAAGATTGAAATTGTCCATTATAGACTTATCATTGAACGGCTTTGATAAGGACACGCGGGCAACGATCGTGGCAATCGATAACGCTAATCGATCGTTATCCCAGACGTCCCTCGTTGTTAACGTTCATCAGCCGCAGATCGCAATCGAAGGAGGACAATGCGCAACGGTGGATCCGACTCACAAAGGAGAACTACACACGAGCGCTTGACTCATTTGTTTGTGACTTTGAGTCAGCTTTTCCGTTTTCTTTTTTCTGCCTTACGCGCGCTCGTTTTTGTTGTCGCTCGCTGCTTTGCTTTAATTGTTTGTTTGGCCACGGCCGTCACTCGCGACACTACTGTGGACGCGCCACGGCAGATGCTGAATGCGCGTGACGTCTGCTTGGCTCGGTGCTCGTAATTGCAGCCGCTCGTTAATTAATTAAAATCAACGAGCCTCGCTTGCCGATATACGCGACCATCGGATGAACGAACGAGTGTTCGAGAATCGAGCCGTACGATTCGAATGAGCGCGCGCCGACGATCTCCTCGCGAGTCCGGACGAAAGGGAAAGTCCCCGTGGCTGCAGGAGCGCCTCCGTAGATGCCGTGGGTCGTCGTGCGCAGTTTCTGGCCACTGTAGTGGGGTAGTAGTGATGGTAATGGTGGTGGTGGTGGTGGTGGTGGTGGTGGTGGCGGTGGTGGTGGTGATGGCGGTGATAGCGGTGGTGGTGGTGGTGGTGGTGGTGGTGGTGGTGGTGGTGGTGATGGCGGTAGTAGTGGTGGTGGTGGTGGTGGTGGCTCTGTTGGCCGGGGCGACGATGGGCCGCGCGCGGCCGCAGTTCTGCCTGACAGAACGCAGGACGTCGGTGCCGGCGGCTCAAGTCGGATTTGACGATGCCTCGCGTCACAGTGCCACGGCGTCGAGCGAGCGTCACTCGTTGAGCGGTTCCGTTCCTCCTCGCGACATCGCGCGCGCACCTCGTTCCTCCTCTCCTCCGCTCCGTTCCGCCTTATTCCCCTCCCTTCACCCCTCGACGCCCCACCCAACGCCTAATCCCGCTCCTTTCCCTGCCTCCCTGGTCCAGGAGCCGAGTCCTCTCTCTCTCTCTCTCTCTCTCTCTCTCGGTGGCTTTTCTTGCGATCGTCGAAAGACGACGCACACACGCGCGGTGCCTGGCGTCGATTACCATGCACGCAACGTTCGGCGTGCGAGCGGCGGACGTCGCCGCTGCACTAGGATACGCTCCCGCCGCGGTACGGGGACGCGAGTTGCGCGCGTCCACGAGCGCGACGACGATGACGTACAGCGGGGCTCAGACGATGGGGGCCATCGCCATCGAGAGTATGGCCGACGAGTGCGCGGAGCGTCGAAGCTTGTCCTAGGCGGCGAGACGCCAGCCGGAAAACGCTGAGGTGCGTGCGTGCATGCGTGCGGGCGTACGACGGAGAGATAGAGACAGAGAGAGCGAGAGAGAGAGAGAGAGACTGAAACCGAGAAGTTCGAGCCTGGACAGCCCGAGGGGTGGGGACGACAGAACGTGAGGCAGACGGACAGAGAGAGAGAGAGAGAGCGATTAAACGAGCGAACGATACACGGGGAGAACGAAAAACTGATCCCGAGTGTTGAGGAGTCAGAGCCGAAAGTTCGTTATTAATAGACCGAGGAGGCGAAACCAAGTGCAAGACGCCTCCGGACGTGAGAAATGTCGCGGGTGTCGCTTAACAAGTCGCAGCCGAGCCAATACGGCTCGCGTCGTGTCCGAAAGATCAGCACGGTGGGTGAGACATTTAAACCATGCATTTTGGATCCTTTGCGCTATCGTTCTCATCTCGGTTCCCGTACCTATTCTCCTCCTCGTCCTCGTCCTTGTTCCTGTTGTCGTTCCCGTCCTCGCGTTCCCAATGCCGACCTTGTCCCTGACCGTCCGTATCATCGTCCCTTCTCTATCCCTTCACCGTTCTCATCCTCCCCAGTTATCCTATCCACTCTCACTCTAGCTTACTGTCACGTCCCGTCTCGTAATATCCCATCACGTCTCGTCCTGTCCTATCCTCTTCCCCATCTTTCGCAACAAAAGTCCAACCAATGGAGTCCTTATATGCTTTACCGAATCCTGCGATCTCGGGTGTGCTCCTCTTTGTTTAGTCGCTCAGGGTCCCGGGGTGGGGATCGAATGCGCTGACTTGCAGCAGAAGCTACTGCCACCGCTGAGGCCAAGGCCGCGAAATAGGCCACGAGGCCGAGAGTTAACCGCTACGGTTGGGCACACGACCGATCGGCATTAGATTTGAGTTGCGCGCGCTTGGCGCGCAATGCGCACGGGGTTGGCGCGCGACCGGGGGACGAGGAACAAAGAGGAATACGCGCCCGATTACGTAAGTCAGCGAATTGCGTTCGCCGCGGCAGACTTTACGTAAGGGGCGGCCGATCAGCTGACGGCCGGAGACCGTCTGTCTTCGCGGATCTGCCCTCGTCCCTATCCTAACGTCGACCCCGCGCGTCCTAGGCAGCGCCGATACCGCTCAAGGCACGAAGACGGCCACCTTCCTCACCTTGTATTTTGGATTACAGACGGAGAGCGAGTACTCCGTGGAGGAGCAGACTCGGCTGACAAGCGGCGGACCCGGGGGTGGCGGCCACGATGGGGACGAGACCTCCCCAGAGGAGGAGGCCGGCTCCCTCTGCGAGTACCACGATATACCGCCACCCCCGGATGGCGGCTATGGCTGGGTCGTTGTCTTCGCCTCCTTCATGTGCAACATGATCGTCGATGGGATCGCCTACACCTTCGGCATATTCCTCGGGGAGTTTGCGAGCTACTTTGAGGAAAGCAGCAGCAAGGTCGCGTGGGCGGGCTCCCTACTCTCGGGTGTCTACCTGATGGCCGGGCCCGTAGTCAGCGCGCTGACGAACAAGTACGGTTGCCGGTTGGTCTGCATGGCCGGGAGCTGCATCGGTACCCTGGCTTTCGTGCTCTCGACCTTCTCCGGCTCGGTCACCGTGCTCATGTTGACCTACGGCGTCCTGGGCGGTCAGTGTGATTTTTGGCGACGCGACTGTCCGACACCAAACTAGCGGAACAAACGGCCGCGCATACTATCCAACTACCACGACGACTGAGCTTCTTGTCCTTTTCCACCAGGAATCGGCTTCGGTCTCATCTACCTACCAGCCGTCGTCTGCGTCGGCTACTACTTCGAGACCAAGAGGTCTTTGGCCACGGGGATCGCCGTGTGCGGCTCGGGCTTCGGTACCTTCATGTTCGCGCCCCTTGCCGGCATACTGCTCGAGACCTACCAATGGAAAGGCGCGATCCTCATCCTGGCCGGCCTCATCTTCAATTGCGCCGTAAGTACCTACCAGAATCTCCGTGCACCACAATTATCCCCAATTACTACCGTATTATCTCACGTCTTCATCTCGTTTGCTCATTGTCTCATATCGTTGCATGTTACGCGTTACGCGATCGTTAGGATGCGCACGCTGATTAATTCTCAGCCAAGAATTAATCTCCATTAGCACGGCGATCGTATTGTACGAGCTCCGCGTCACGCCTGCGAAACGTTATTGCTTCGTTATTTCTGCAATTATATAAGAGCGTCATTGACAAAGTATAAACAATGTTTTCGCAACGGCGGCCTGCGCGTCCTCATCCATACCCTATGTTTTCACAATTTCAAGAACCCGCCACACCGCTATTATTACATCCTTCTCACTATACAAGAGTCATTCAATAACGAGGAGGTACAAAGCTTTTGCATATTTTTGACATTGAGAAGTAGAAAAATGAAGAAAAAGAAAGAAGAAGAAAGAAGAAATGAAGATGAAGGAAAGAAGAAGAAAGAAGAAAAGAAGAAAAAGTGATGAAGAGAAGTAGAAAAAAGAAGAAGATGATGAAGAAGAAGAAGAAGAAGAAGAAGAAGATGATGATGATGATAATGATAATGATGATGACAATGACAATGACAATGACAATGATAATGATAATGATAATGATTATGATTATGATATTGATGATGATGATGATGATGATTCTAAATAGTGGATGCGTTGCGTGTCATTGAAACGATTGTACGTTTGCACCTGCAGAATTATACATACGCTTCGATTGGGCTTGTTTGATGCATTGTAGGCGCCATGAGCGATACCGATATCGATTTGGGCAACCACTCGGACAATGTATAGCAGATCTATATTTATCCTCATATATTTTCTCCCTTTTTCTTTTTGAGGTAAAACTCATGCAGTCACCACCGCCTCCGTTATACCTCCCCCCCCCCCCCATCATCCCTCACGCAAACTGTACGCATCGTAAAAAGTGCAAATAACAATAAGCTAACAATGGCATTGTAGGGTCGATGTAAATATCTACCGTCGGGCATGAACGTGTTGATGCGATCCTGCAAAAATAGATCACCAAATTGCACCGGCGCGCAAAACTACAAATGCCATTAACGAACGTAGCGCGCGGGGTGGTGAGCGGGGGAAAGCTGCTTGGAACGAAGAATAATAAAAAAGAACGTCACTAGCTCGCGGTCGAAAGTGCGTTTACATATATTTCTCGAACATTCTCCGCGCGGCTTTACGGAAATCGAAAGGTCGCGTGGTGCACGAACGTTTTGTGAACAAGGACTTTCACAATTCGGTATAACGGCTGCGCTGGCATTAGCTGGTTGCCGCGTAAATTTTCGAGCTCGCGAGAAGCGAGGTGGAAGGATATGAGAAAAACATGAGTATAAAAGTCTCGGTACCGTGGCTCGGCTCCTATTTATGCGCCTTGCCGCGTTTTTCATTCAGTGGTGGCTCAAAGCTGTCAAGCAGTACGCGAAGTGTGTCGATGCGCTCTCTAAGAAAGAGGAGGGGGGGTGTAGCGAAGAAGCCCGTCAACTTACACCGCACGAAAAGATTTGGCAGCTGAAAATATGTCGCATCGATTCGCATCACCACTACGTATGAGGCGAATATTTTTAAGAAAAAAAAACCTTCAAGTACGCGCTCACGACCGCGAGCTTCGCCCCCCCCCCCTCCGGCAGACGCTCGTAAACACGCTAACCCATTTAAATAGAGTATTTGTTTAATTTCTGATTTTTATGCAAGCTTACTCGAGTCGTTGAATAAAATGTTACCTGTCAATTATCCTTCGCTAGTCGATATATGTATTTGAGAATGTGTGTGTGTGTATGTGTGTGTGTGTGCGCGCGCGCGTATAATATTCTTCGACTTATCCGACACATAATACATTTGTAATGGAATGTTTGCTACAACTTCTTTCTCTACTTATGCACCTTCAAATTATATTTTAATGTTTGACAATTTTACTTCGATTTTCTATTATTTTCCTCAGTGTATACAATGCTCGATAAAGCTTCACATTTTCTTCCATTGCCTGTTTATATATTTTGCAAATTCCTCGTATAATAACATAGTCTGTCTTACTCATAAAAGAGTAATAATTTTAATTCTGGGCTCAATCGTGTATGCCAATTAATCATTTAATTTTTGAATTTTTATTTTTTATGTAAATTGTACAATATTTACTTATCGAGATAAAATCGTGAGTATCACTTTTATTTCGTATAATTATGTTGAGTTTACTGATTACATATGTACACGTCATTAAATTTCATTTAGCGATGCTTCGACGGCACGTCGGTTGTCCTTTTTGAGCTATACGCACGATAACAAGAGCCATGCATTGTGTATAATGTGTGTACTGTGGACATTGTTGAGCAGGAGTTAAGCAGGAGCCGTACCATAGAAACGACACTAAATTAAATCTAATCACTCGTAATCACTTAATCGTCAAATCTTATACAAAATTAAATACTTTTAAATTAGGACGACAACGATTACTTTAAGCTGCGAGATTAGATATCTTTGGAATGAGTAGATAAACTTCAATGTAATAACTTCTTTGTATTGCGCTTATATTTTTCTGGATTGCTATTCTCACTCTTTAATTCATTCAAGGTTAACTGACGAAAAATGTACGTTTGCCTTGATGTTTGGACAATAGACGAAGATTTTTCGCTCGGAAACTTCGCATGGACGCACTCAACCCGAGAGTTATTATAAATTATCTCCTTTTTTTTATATCTAACTTTAAAATAGTTTGTAACTACCAAGTAGTCTGAACAAGTTTATTTGAGCGTCGGTAATGTGAAATGAAAATTTTATTTAACCAGTAGCATTAGTGAGATTAGCGAAGCGATGTACGAATGGAGGTCTTGCTTAAAATGATTGCGATTGGTAATGGAAAACAGTAAAAACGAAAAAATATGTCGATAAAAGTTTTTGAAAAAATGATGTCCTCGTGATTGCTTATTTAGTAAAAGATTAATAAATTTAACGTAAACGGCGTTGTTGCCCATAAGCTGCAATTGTCGCATGCGGAAGATAATGTTATCCATTTAGAAAACATTTCACTGCATTTTCAAATTCTCTTAATGTCTGTAGTACGACGCTGGTTGGCAGTCACTCGGTTATTTTACGAGTCTAGCTATTCGTAGTTTTACGATTCTATGTGTGGGATGCAGTTGCACATCGGTGTTTACATCACGAAGCTACCAAGCTTTATCGAGAATCTTAAATAAGTATTCGCAGAGAATGTGTTTTTATATGAATTAACGCGCCCGTTGAGCTATTATCTTGTTACAACCATGATAATGTACAATATTGGCAAATGAGAGAGCATAGTATGAATTCCAAAGGAATTGCGTCAGTGTTACCAACTTACGATGTCAATTCCTGTCAATTTTCATAGATTAAATTGATTACAGCGAGCAAAATCAAAATTCGCATCAAACAAATCGTCTCTTTATATAACCGAATACAACTAAACTCTCGATGCTTGGATATTTCCAGCTATGGAATGCTCTACCTTCGCTTCATTATTAGTAATTTCATACACGTAGATCTCGAATACGATATGATAACCACGCCTGTACTCGTAAAAGTGATAACGTCGTACTTGGGCCTCATCGTCGCCAACCTCCCGAATACCGATTTAATCTGATAATACACTCAAGATTTTACAATCGGTTACGCGTCTCTTTATTGGCATGCCTGCTCTCCGAAACGAGATACTTTGTTCAATTTTCTGACGAGCTATTTTTATATAAAATGTGCGTTAGCCGTAATTGGATCTTTCGAGCGACTTTTTTCAATTTATCGCCAAGTTCATAGTTAAAATTCATTTGATATAATATTAATGTTGAGAACATTGTTACTAAATGTATTAATTTCGTCATCGTATCCACCACTGCAATGTGGTTTCCACTATATTTAGCGCCTTTTAACCAAAGCAAAAACTTTATTAATAAATGCTTGGTTGATCCAATATTTTAAGACTCAATAATACGATCACAAAAGTCGATCCTCATTTCCAAACTATATACGCCATTAAACATATTATCGACAAGAATTTCAATAAAAGTATAAAACATGTTTTAAAAAAAAGACTTTGGAATGGACTGACGATAATTAGATTATGACATAAATCTACGAGTCTGTACTCCAAAAGTAAATTTGCAATACATAATTAAAAACAATCTTTAAAATATATTCGTAATTAAAGTATATATAGGACGCTCATAGCACCACGCGAATAACTTTTCAGATTTTTGGCGCATTGATGAGACCACTGGAGTACCCGAAGGCCTCATCCGTGAAGCCGCTACTGCAACGAATGGCAGAAGAAAAGAGATTCCAAATGGAGCGCGGAAGTATCGGTGGATCATACTTCATGGTGCAGCTTCCAGATGGATCGATGGAAAAGAGGATGAAGATGCCGATTAATATCGACCCTGGCGTTCACTCTAGCTTCAATTTAGACCAATTAGTGCCTGGTAAGGAAGCCAATATTTCATAGTGTTTTATTAACGCAAGTCGAGTCATAGCGACCGATTAGAAAATGATATTTTACAAATAGGCGTTCGTTATTGTGGGCGCCTTAAATAAATACGTACGCGCATAAGATAGAGATTGAGAGATAGATAGATAGACAGATAGATAGATAGATAGATAGAGAGAGAGATAGATAGAGAGAGAGAGAGAGAGAGAGAGAGAGAGAGAGAGAGAAGTCCGTGAGATTGCGATAGGGCGCTACGTGTCGATAATATTAATTGATGCTAATATTATGAAAGGAACTCCTCTGACGCCAGTACCGACCGTGCCGACTCTGCCCACGATATCGGAAGTCAAAGTGCAGGAACACTCGTCGAGCGGCGCGACAAGTAATAGTGGCAGCGTGGACATAAAGGGCAGCTTGGTGAAGTCACGCAGTAGAAAAGCCATCGACGATACCAAAGACGTGACCAAGGACATCGTGGACAAGCCCGAGAACGAGTTCAACAAGCCAATAATACCGCGTAATGCGTCGCAGCCGGCATTCACCACCCACGTCCAGGGTCTACCAAAGAACGGCTCGGTGCCCTTCTTCGATAGAATACGTAAAACCAGCACTGGCGAGCGTTACAAGCCGAGTCTCAGCGCTATTAAGAACTCCAGAACGACCCTCAACTCCAACGGAGACATCCGTAAGAGCCTCCATTTACGGCTCTCCACCAGTAGTATGCTTGGCTCGCGTAATAACAACACCGAGATGGATGTCGGTATCATAATAAACAGCACCCGCTCTGCCCGATCGCGTGAAAAACCTCAAGTTGTATTATTTTCAGGACGGCGAGAGCATCACTTTCACCACCAGCACTAGCCGCATAGCCCGAGAGAAATCCATTATGGTACGACCACTCTCGAGAAAGGATATCTTCTACAGCGGCAGTATCATTAACTTGCCGGAGTTCCAGAGCCAGAAGTCTCTCGCCAATTATCGACAGAGCGTCCTCTCCATATCCAAGTCCATACGGGGCGTCGACACCAAGGATGGCGACGTCGAAAAGCAGCGTAAGCTTATCGATACCAATGCCGCTCCGCTCCCTATGTTTAACACTAAACTATAATTGAATACTGTTGATTTAGCGCCTCTTTGTCCCTGTCTTGAGATACCGGAGTCTTTTAAAGAAGCTTTGGGTACGATGATGGACATATCTCTACTAAAGAATCCAGCCTTTCTCTTAATTTGCATCAGTAACGTATTCGGAATGGCTGGTCTGTACATACCATTCTTTTATTTAGTTGACGCAGCCGTTCAACGAGTAAGACAATACCCAAATGCCATTGCATTATATTTATGAACGATTAGCGAAAAGTATAGCTTTGTATTATTTTTTAAGGGAGTCGAAAGAAAATACGCTTCGTGGTTGCTCTCTGTTATTGGGATAACGAACACCGTGGGTCGTGTCGCATGTGGCTACGTCGCCGATTTTCCCCAAGTAGATTCCTTACTATTAAACAACGTATGCTTAATTGTGGCTACGATAGCAGTTACGTTAACACCATTTTGTTACGCTACTGTCCATTATATGGTAATGAGTACTTTTTTCGGGCTTGCCATTTGTGAGTATAATTCTACAATAATGCTTCATTGCCATATCGCTTACTTTTTTTATTCTATAGACTTTCATTTGTATTGCAGCCGGTTATATATCGCTTACATCTATCATATTAGTGGATCTCTTGGGCCTCGACAAGTTGACAAACGCTTTTGGATTGCTGATTCTATTTCGAGGCGTCGCGGCCATCGGTGGCCCTCCAATTGCAGGAAATTTATACGATTTTACAAAAGATTACGGAATAACTTTCTACATGGCAGGATTTTGCTTTTTAATTAGCACTATTACGAGCTTCGTAGCTCCAACGTTGAAACGCTGCACTACGCCGCAGGTAAGAATGCCGTAGTTCATCTATCCTTTTCCCATATTGTTGAATAGGCTTTTCATTGTCGAGCACACACTTTTCAGACTCAGCCTGTGATATTAGATACATTGACGCCGATTGACGAAGACATCGAGGAAGAGAACGAAGATGATATTCCTGAAATTATTGAAACTGCACCATCGCCTCAAGAGCAGCCGGAGAAGGAAATCAAGCAGATCGAGTCTGTATTATAAGCGAAAAATCGGGTGCTTCTGCTACTATGTTTTGCAACAAAGAAAAAAAAAGAAAGAAAAAGAATTTACCGTCACTCCGAGCCATATTGTGATACGGTTAAAAATTTTCATCAAAACTTCGAGAGGTATTTCTTTTTGCATACCTCCTGATTGATATGCACAAAATAACTGATGATGACGACCGATGAATTTTTTGTACGATTATAGACAATTTCAATAATTACTTTAAATTTTATTTTTTAACCTTACAATAAATTGTATGGAAACGTGACATAGAAAAATTCTGTCGGACCAGCGCACTATTTAGCTCGTCTGTATTGATAATATGTATTGACTGAATTAGAGGCGTTTAATTAACTTAATCAGTATCGATTGTCAGTATGTGTAAAGAAAATCGCAAATATAAAAACTAATTGAAATGCGGCAAAATCAAGGCTTTTACGTGTGTACACAACAACAACAACAAAAATGTTTTTATTTCATGTAGATAACAATAATTATAATATTAATAATAATACTTAATAAAACCATCAGAATAATTAAAAAATAACAACAATAATAATGATGATGATGATGATAATAATAATAATAATAATAATAATAATAATAATAATAATAATAATAATACGATAAGAAATAATAGTAAACGCGAAGGGGAGAAAAGCTTGCATTTTATTACGTAAAGCTCTCGTCATTGGAAGCTATTTTTGGGGAAGAATTTCCAACAAGAGGCTTTTTATCAAGGTCAAAACAACAAAATGCAAAAATATATATTTCTTATGTACGCATGGCACATGAATCATATTAATGATTCAATTATATGGAAATAAGAGAGAAACGTAACTGAATGAAATGGCACTTTAGTTGTAAATAAAAAGGAGAACAGTACTTGTAAAATATAGGAAGGCGTTAATTGAACCAATCGCTGGAACGTGCATTATAGAAAGAAAATGCAACAGCAGAACCCAAATTTAGCTTAGTTATGTGTACGTTATTATCGAAAAATTAATATATTGATGGTCGCGAGCTAACGAGTGTATTAATTACACTAATAATTTTTCGTTCTTAAATATCTTACTTTTTTTTCATATATAATAACAATGTGTGAGAATAATATATATAGATTCTCAACTATGCAGATTTTGTTTGTGTTAATTAATGTAAAAATATAATAGTAGATTTATAACACTAGGATTAATTTTTTTCAATTTACATTGAGGCGCGTGCGAAGAAACGTTAGTTAACACAAACTGTCTAATAACTAATATTTTATTACTTAAAAAGTACGCTAGGGAAGGCACAGCGAGCACAAGAAATCACTTGTGTCACTTAATTTCCGCAGTGATCGCTGGTTAACTGATGCATCTGACTTAAACAATAGTAAGCGATTATTACAATTACGTTATATTGTGATTTATATAAAAAAAAAAAAAAAAAATATATATATATGTATAAAATAATAAAAGAAAAAGTGTATATATGCCTATATACATCGGTGAAAAAAAAAGAATGAAAATAAGAATTATTGTAAATCTTGTTAAACGCCAAATGAAATGTTACGCAGCGCGTGTGTCGTGTACGTAAAATGCGAGTTGAAATTCTGTTCTAATTTTATACGTCGTCCTTGCGTAGCAGGCATTACTCACATACACACGAACACGAACAAGAACAATATGCATACAAACACACGTACTCTCTCTCTCTCTCTCTCTCTCTCTCTCTATATATATATATATATATATATCTATCTGTCTCTAACACAAAACAGAAACTCCACTCGATCAGCTTTTTGTTTTTTGTTTTTTGTTTTGTCCTCATAAACAATGCACACGAACCGAAGCCACGACAAAGAATTGAAGAATTGCGTCGCAGTCCGACATAGCCGTTCGTTTGGTACTCCACAAATGGAATCTTTAACAGATTACAATTTGTTCGTGGATCCTATCGACCTAGAACGTAGGCGCTCGAAACGAGCCTAAAACCATATAGAGACATTTCCAAGATGAACCGTAGAAGATTATGATGGACGAGATTTCTACAAGTACCCCCTTTACTCTGGACGTTTCTATATGTTTCTACGAGGCTTTTCACGAGATGAACTAATCCACCTTTACCACTTATTTTCAACTTAAGCTTAATAATCATTAAATGCTACTATATTTACTACTGTACCGATAATTTCTATTACTTATACCATTTGTATGACATAAAGTAATTTTATTATCTTATCGTTGTTGTGCAGAAAAAAAAAGTTGAAAAAAAAAGAAGAATGAAATTGTGTATTATGATTTTATTTTCATTAAGTCTCTTCGAGTCAGGTACGTCGAAGACATATTTATGTAACAATTTCTTTTCTTTTGTCCAGTTTAGTATTTGTGTTAATTTCCTTCTATTTATTCTTTCATTCTTCCAGTACCTTAACTATGATAAACGTCATTTCGTAAGTTTTAAAGAGCGCGATTGCGTATGGGTGTGCTTGCGAGTGTGGCGCGTGCGTGTGAAATCATGTGAGGTGGCGCGCAGAGGCTTCGTTGCAAGACATGGAGACATGTTGGACGCCGTCGGTAAAGCGGATCGCCCAAGGGGATGACAACTGCTTATGCGAATACGGCGTCAGGCGCAAAGCAGCGAATGAAAGTGTGCTATGGCGTGTATATAACGACGAGCTTTTGGATTAATAGCGGTAGAGGAAAACTAAAGAAAGAAGCAGAAAAAGTATTAGATAGATAGAGAGAGAGAGAGAGAGAGAGAGTGAGTGAGAGGAGAGATCGCGTAGTAGATGCGTGTATATGTTTTAACGAGTCACGTTGTTGTATAATGTACGTACACGGCTTCCTCCGTGCAAAATATGTTAATATACGATATGGTACAAAAAAGGACGAATGTATTAGGTAACGTTTATCTAAATTCAAAGAGAAGAAAAAAAAATTTATGAATTTTTATTATTGAAAAATGAAAAGAAACTGTCTCATATTGTTTATATCTGATACTTTTCAACCCTAATCCCCTTTCCTCGTCAGCATCTCATATCAGTTTTATACCAAAGGGACTAACAAAGAATAGAAGGCTTTGAAAATTGCACTGAAAGCGACTGGAATGAAGTTCATCATTGGACCTGAATCCCGTGCATTCCAGTCACGCGCCAAATATATGAACCAAGTATAATAAACTTGTCGTGAAGACCAAGTAAGACGGAAAACCGATTGCCATCGGTTGACATGCGGCGTGACATCGCGGCCGGACATTGGCCGAATTGCCGGATTCACGTATTCCCCCCCCCCTCCGCCACTCACGGCGCTCTTTCCCCCACCGACACAACATGCGAAAAGCACTCGCGAGCTTTCGTCCCGTTCATAAATCTTTATGGAGAACATCAGCGTAAAGTGGCGGACTTGACTCTTTAAGCAGCCGCCCCCGTTCATTGCCGCGAGCGCGCGCCAAGAGGCCGAACGCGTCGGGCATTCGTTATTCGTTATAAAGCGTGTGCGGTACGACGAGCTACAACGGGCAAGATGATCGAGAGAAGAAGCGGTAATAGTGGCCGTAGCTGAGGTGACGGTGACGGCAACAACGACGGCTACGGCAGCGACGGCCTCCTCTGAAGATGCGAAAACTGACGTTTCCAATGTATTTTTAAATCTCGCGTCTTTGGCTTTATCATTCGCTCGATTCGTCGTATTATCGACGCTCGCCGTGGTGGCTTCGCAAAACTCGCTGACATTTCGCCACGTAAAAAGCCTGTGTGTCACAAGACGCGTAACCGCGGTGTACTGAAAGCGCCTCGTTCGAAATACCAAGGTCAATATTGAATCGCGCGGCTCCTTCGACCTCCCTTCGGTGCAAAGTTCGAGAATGCGCAGGGCCGTAAAGCCTCTGGTGCGCGCGGGCCATATGGTCCACCACGAGGCAACGTGGTGAAAGTGTTCGGTTATTAACAAAAATGAACGGGGGCGCCCTTAGCCGACTTTATTATCGAAAGTTGGCAGCTCGCTTTTCCAATAGATAAGGAGCGCATACCGCCTCGGCCGTCGTCAGAGTCTCCGTCGCTGCCGAGGGGAACGCGCCGTATCGATGAGAAGGAGCGCATTTGTCACACGAGGCGCCTGTCGGTCGAAATTCTTTTCTCGAGTCAGTCTGACGAGCGAGTGAGCGCGATAAAGACACGCGCGCGCTCTCTCTCTCTCTCTCTCTCGCTTACACTCTATCTCTCTCACTCACTCTCTCTTTATCTCTCTCTCTCTTTCTCTTTATCTCTCTCTCTCTCTTTATCTCTCTCTCTCTTTCTCTTTATCTCTCTCTCTCTCTTTATCTCTCTCTCTCTCTTTCTCTTTATCTCTCTCTCTCTCTCTCTCTTTATCTCTCTCTCTCTTTATCTCTATCTCTCGCTCTCGCTTACACTCTATCTCTATCTCTCTCTCTCTCTCTCTCTCTCTCTCTCTCTCTCTCTCTCTCTCGTTCTCGCCTCCTATCTCTCTCATAGTCTCTTTCAAAGTATCTTACTCACGCACTCGACACGCGCTCGTGGCTGAGACTCGCTGCCAGCCGAAGGCTCACCGCGACAGTCGTCCACCAGGTGCGCCTCGACCTCGACACGTTATTTTCGCGGCCTCTTGCTCTCGGCGTGAGGGGTCGTGAGAGAGAAGGGCTGCGATTCGCGGCTACGAGATTAGGGCGAGCGCCAGGAGGAGTCGCGCGGGTTACGAAATAGGAAGAAGTGCAGCGAGGTAAGTCCAGGGGCCGATGCCTTTATCCGAGTGGATAAGAGTCCCGGCGATTGTCCTTGGCCAGCTGCTGCACGGCGCTTGCTTATCGCAGCCGCGCGAGTTCATCGGCCAGATTCGCTCAGCGGCTCTTACGATGGGAGATCACGCACCAAATCCTCCAACAATTTCCTGAAAATCCCATTGGGATGCCCGCGGCAGCTTGGCATCCGACGTATCTAAATTGAATTATCGTGGCCGTGGCCGAGTGTCGTCGCCCGGTATCGCACATGTGTGTAAGTGCACGTGTGCGTGCGTGGGTGCGTGCGTGCGCGTCTATCTTCCCCGGTAGTCTTTCCTACGGCTACCGAGCTCGTGCCGGCTTCTCTTTCACCCCCTCCTTTCCTACCTCGACCTTGCCCGGCCAAAATCACGTTGACTTTGCTCTTGAACTCCAATGATCAGCTACTTGAATCGGACCGCTACACTTTCGAATTCACCGTAGCGGTGCTCGGCTTGTCCTATTCAAAGGCAATTCTAGTCGATAAGCAAGGTAGAAAGAGTCCGGGTGCGAGTTGGCAGGATCACGCTTTTCCAAGCGCTTCTCCCTTGCAGATTCGCTCGTGGTTATTCTCTTTCAGCCGATTTTTTTCTTAGATCGTATTGTGCTCTCTCTCTCTCTCTCTCTCTCTCTCTCTCTCTCTCTCTCTCTCTGTCACTCTCTCCCTCGGATCGTCACGCTATTATAGGCGCCGGACGATGGGCGGCTTTATTTATATATAGTTGATTCCTACGTATCGGCGACCTCTTAACGAAAAAGGGAGATATGCTGCGCGCTGATATTGACCAATACGTTTGACAGCCGGTTTTTAACGGGCACGTACACTCTCTTGTCCGCCTGCCCTCCCGCCAGCCCCTCCAACGCCGTTGTCCACCACTCCGTCCCGTGCCCCCTTCGTCCACGATCTATCAGCACTTATCTACGATCGCTACTAATTGGTATGTTAATAGGCATGAATCGCGCTTGGAAAATAATCCACTGATTGCTCTGGAAATATATGCGAGAAATGGAGGGAATAGAGCGCGGATGCATAATCGTCGAACTCGATTAATCTAATGGTCTAACTATTAAATACTTCACTGTTTACGGACAATAACTAACCGCCTATCTTGAAGCATATTTGTATTTTGACACATTAAGAGAAAACAACGGTACTGATTAGTGAGCGGTTTAGCAAATAGACAACAACAAAGACCATTTGTAGTGGCTACAAGGAAAGTTTGGTATTGCGTCCTAAATATTTTACGTGCGCATGCGCGAGGATAAAACGTCCACGACCCAGTATCTAATATAACTTTGTGTTATTGTTCTCATTTCACTAGACGATTTAACGATCCTGACTATTATTTATTATTTTCGGTTAATATTGATATATAAGCTTGTTATCGCCCAAACACTCACTCTTCGATGGTTAATCTGTTTTGGTCTAGATAATCTCACCGTAGGCATAGTTAAAATTGCAATCATTGTGTCAAAACGATGATTCTACACACGCACACGCGCGCGCACACACAAAAACATTCATCGTTACACGGCAATTGTAATTTCCACTTTTTTCAATAGCCGAGCCTAATAATTTTCCCCTCACACAACGTATATACACCCTGCGCGGCTTGTCTAATAATACACTTATTCGACATTTTTCAACGAACTTCATTCATGATTCAAATTTCATATAAAGTATCTTAAAAAGCGAAACGAAGCGCTCTTGGTTGATACGTACGATAAAGAAACAAGCTTATCACTGGATCGAGTGCGGCTTTGTATTAACATTATTGCATTACATCCATTCCATGTGGCATGAAATTTTTGCGTCATCTTCTTACAAGTATTATATGTATAAAATGTTGCGTAGGAATGGAGTGCTAATTTACAGGGTCAGAGTTCGCTCTCTCGTCCATTAAATATTTCTTGAGGTAACGACCGCTTCATTATCCACATAAACGGTAATTCGTTCAATGGTGCAAGCGCATGGTATGCCTCGCGATCTCAAAATATATAAATTTTTATCCGATAGCGAATTACGCAGACCTCGACAAATACTGTGCCGCGCGCACAGGCCTACTTTTAAAGTCGATATCGATTCTCCATCTCCATGTGTTTTCTTATCTATTTTCTAATTTATCGCGCTCTTCTCTATGACTTACGAATTAAATTTCTAAGAAGCTCGACTTTTATCGTCATCCCATTCGTGATTGTCGATCGTGGTGCACCTCCCCCCCCCCACCCCCACCCCCTTGCCGCAACCCCCCGACGATCCCTACCGAGCGGCTCTCAGCCCCTCAAACATCATTAATGATAGATAAAGAATTTTAATGATTCGCGGCTTTAATCGAAAATGTCAAATGCTACCTAATGTAAGTACGGGAGAAAAAATCACCCTGAGCCGACGCTAGTTCGAAAACCTTCTCGGCCAAATTCTAGGAGGGACGTGAGCACGTAACATAAGCGCGTGCGGTTAATAAGGCACGTGTCCCGCCGCGATGGTGACATAATTGATCGAGCAAGAAAGTGAAGAAATAGCGGAAGGGGCTCCAAAGCAGATCAGACGAGGAAAGAGAGCGAGCATCTCTAGACAAGAAGCGAAAGCTAAAAGTGGGAGAGCCGCTGCCGATACGGATTCGCGAATTACTATTTTCCATTATACGATTTTTCTCATTCTCCCTCTCTCTCCCTCTCTCTCTCTCTCTCTCTCTCTCTATATATATATATATATATATATATATATATATTTACATGTATGTATGTATGTATATCACGCATTCAGTCACACGCACGCGCACGCATGTACGCATGCACGTATACGCGCGCGCCTGCACATGCACTAGTCATATCGCGCACTACCATTATCTGAGTCCCATGATAAAGCCAATTTATTTACGTGTCGCCCCGATAAAGCAAAAGAGCCGCGGATGCAACGGCTTTAGTGACGAGCAGTTAATCTTGTTGGCTGCACTCAGCCACTCACGCGCATTTCATCTCCTGGCCGCGTTTTTTTTTTCTACCAACTTTTTGAAAGAAACGTGGAATTATTTGCAGTCGATTTTCTGCAGCCATGGCGATCGTAGAGAGCAGCAACGAGGATCGTAACAAACTGCCGATCCAACCGAACGGCAACGCCAAGAAGGAGGCGATTCCCCTCAAGGATGTCGACGACAAAAACGATGAGGTGAACCATCGTATTTTTTCACTTCCATACATGTATACGTCGTATCGGCCCTGACATTTCAAAAAAGGATTTCACCTCGTCTTAATAAGTTGTTTGCTCGTGCAAAGTCAAATTTAATAGTTTGGCGAGTTTCTCGAAAATACTTATTCCAATACTTATTTGTTAAATGCATTAAAATTGCTTTTAAGTTTCAAAAGTTGTGATTATTCTAGAAATGTTACGATACTACTTTGCGAAATAACGAGACATTATTGGTGTTATAGAATTATTTCGTAAATATAATAGCTTTTAAATTATACACGTATACTTTACTAAAGCGTTGCAACCTTAATTGACTTTAAGCGACATTGCGATCAAAATTTCATTTTCTCTCGGATTAATATAATACATTGGCTATTCTGTATATATTAAATTCCCGATTCTATAATAACCGATAGAGCATTTTTTATTCTAACTTATTTAATTGTACTATTTATAATGAAACATAATTATTTGAAGACGGCTTTACATTCAAGACAACAAAGGTTTTTATCATCTAACGCATAATTCAAAAACAAACTGTAGAACGCCGTCTTTTTTCTTGAATAATAACTGCAAATATAGACGAGATATAATTTTATGAAACATACTAGAAACATATTAAAAATTCATTGCTGTCTCAATTTGATTAATTTTTGTTAAGTCTATGAAAAAATTTACTCGAGAAAATTTATTGGAGAACATTGGAATTTTGATATTCTGCAAAATGGCCAATATGAAAAAAAATTATTTATTTAATATTCGAAATATTACGTAAAAATCATAAGGAAAAAGTATTTAAAAATTAAATAAATAATTGATTTATATTTTATGTCTTAATAAATAATATTGTATATGCAAATATTAGAGAGAGAGAGAGAGAGAGAGAGAGAGAGAGAGAGAGAGAGAGAGAGAGAGAAGCCGATAATTATATACGAAAATAATTTAAAGTTTAATAAATGTTTCGTAATATTTAATCGTATTGTAATTAAGTTTTAATTAACATTTGCTTAAGTGTACATTTAATAATTTTATTTATTAATATGGACAATATATGGTATTAGTTATTTTCAACAAAATTATAAAAAAATTGCCAATCCATTATTTTGATATATTTATAAATATCTGTATATTTGCGTTGTTGGAATTAATTAGAAATAAGTTTTCCACAACCTAGTTTAGTACATTATTCTCAGTTTACTACATAGTATATAATCTCAATATAAATTTATTGTTAGTAATTAGACTAATAGCATTGAAGGTTACATAAAATTTTTTATTCGAATGATTTGAATGAAATTAATATATAGTGGATTTATTATTTTTTTTTTTTTTTTTAATCGCAGCTTTTTCTATATAAAGACTTTGGAAGCTACAATATCGCAAGTTTCCATTTCCTAAAAATAGATGGTTACAAATTTTGTTCAATCTTTGTATGTCATAAAAAAATTTGTTTTAAAAAATATGAAATGCAATATCAATAATGTCTGCACGTATAACAATAACGTTGTAAAATTTACCTGAAATAAAATTTAATCTAAGTCTCATTTTACGTCAACGAAAAATATAAGTTTTATTGGATCATAAAGATTTTAATTATATAAAATGACTTTTATTCACAAAAACAAGGAATATGTGTATAGTGCAATTATAACATAAGGTTAATTAGAAAAAAAAATTCGTTTTAAATTTCTAAAAAATATTGTTTTAAATTCGAGAAATTAAATCTAATTTGAAAATTTTAATCTAATTATGTTTCAATAATTCTTGAATTACTTTCTTTTAATAGCAGCAATTAGTGAATTGAAATATTATCACATTATTTACAATTATTCATATCGTCTGATCGGCATCAATGAAAAATTTGAAATATTTGATGAAAATTATTGAAAGACATTAAACTGATACTATAAATATAATTTATTCATTGTTCCATTAAACATTGGTTTTATAAATATTTGCAAAAAATAAATGTACCTTCAATATGCTATAATGGTACAGCGGTAATCATTCAATATTTTTATTTTATCTAAAGGTTTGTTAACCTCTTGAATCTAAGAAACTTGACCGCTTTTTCGATAAGTCCATGGCTTAATTGATAATATAGATTTTTTTTAGTAATTACCAAATGTATAATTTACGTATTTTAAACGATATTACTGATTTTTCATCTTTATTTAATACTCAACAATTATACTTACAACAATACGAGTTTACAATAATCAATTATTTATTTTTGTCTACATATAAGCTTTCATTATCTAAAGAAAGTTCGTAATGTTAGAAAAAATTAATTTTAATTCTAGATAAAAAAAGAGTCAGTATAAATTTTATTAAAAGGCTATTTAACTAATAGATCACAAAAACAGAAAATAGATTTACATATAGATTAGGCTCGATATAAGTTTTGAAAGAATGAAGAATTGTAATTAACATCATGAAATTTTATTGCATGTTCGTATTCCTCTTATTGAAAAACAAGTTTTTTGCAAACTAATAAATATTATTGTTTAATATTGTGCAAATGACAACAATAATATTTTTTACGTAAATTAAACGATTCTTTCATAATTACAAATATGAAATTAATACTTACACGTACATATGAATTTTATTAAAAAATCAAGCAGTTTTGTATAGTATGGAAAATATCACTGCAAAGCTAACGAATTACTATATTCAATCATATGATTTGTATTTAAAAAAAAAAAAAGTAAAAATCAGTAATAATAATATTAATGAAAAAAAAAAGTAATTAGTAATAATAATAGTAATAGTAATAATAATAATAATAATAACAATAACAATGGTAAATAAATAGTCATGATAGTAAATTAATAATAAAAACGGTGCTGTGATCGATAAATATATTTAGATATTATTTGGTTGCATCTTAATTTTGTGACAATCATAGTCTATTGTAATTTTTGCCATTTTGCCAGACATAAAGTAATTATTATGTAGTTTTGAAACGTCAAATATGCTTGATATCTGCTTCTATCAAATCAAACATGTCTCTACTAAAAGCTACTAATAATAGTTTGCCAATCCTTAAGATGTCCATAGACACGTGATGTGGTCTTATATACCCATGTGAAATCGAACATTTTGGGACTTAATTATGCGCCAATTCAGCGATCATAAGATCTAACGAGTGTAAAATACGCCTTAATGCTACTATCATTAGAAAAGCCAAAACTACATCTAAATTAACTATGTAAACGTTTGAATCGCGAGCGACGTATAAAAGATTTTTATAATCAATATTCTCCATGTACACTAATGTTCCATAAATTGTCAATGCAAATATAACACACTTATTAGTTTTAAAATAAATAAGCAGATTGAATTCCATTCGTTGGCAAATATTTAAAGAAAAACAGGCGCTGAACGCAGATTAAAATATTCTCCATAAACCTTTATTGCACAACCTAGAAATTGATCCGAGCGAATTCATTGACGTCACACGATTACAATTGTAAAATAAAATTTCAATACTTGCGCTAATAATAAATTAATTTCTAATATTATTGTCTCGATACACCTGTGCAGACTGCTGGTTGGCTTAAAAATAAATGATCGAGAGCCTATGTTAGAAAATGAGATGTTCGAAGGAGTAGGAGGTGGGGAAGGCCAAGCGCACAAATCTTATTATCGACAGCTTCGCACATTATTGAATATTACAGAGAGCGTAAAGGCCACCCTGAGCAGCGATCGTTATCGCTTAAAGAAAAATAGCGCCTCGTAGATTTGTTATTCCAAGTGAAACGTAATCGGTGACGCTTACGTTTAGAAAAGTATGCGTAATAATTTAAAAGCGGCAGCCGAGGATCGCGCAGACATATCTAAAGCCGTTGGCGTGGAAAATTTGCCGTGCCTTCGGTGCTAAGACGATGCGTATGGAAGTGATGATTGCTCCTATCGGTTTTGCAATACAATGAACGATAGGCGAGAAGAGACATATTCTGGGTCAGACCGTTATCATCGATTGCTCCTTGTATCGCATGGCCCGAACTTTCTTTCTTCTCCCCCCGTCGATTCATCTCTCCGTTTGCCACTCGTGACCGCGTCGCTCGCTCCGAGGCGCCGCGCTCGCGCAATGGAAAGACAATGATCGGGATGCTTAAGTTGGAACTATTGCCCCAGGGCTACGTGGAGATGGTGGTGCCGCCGGACGGGGGCTGGGGCTGGATTATCGTCGCAGCCTCCTTCATGTGCAACCTCGTCGTCGACGGTATAATGTTCAGCTTCGGGGTGTTCCTTGAGGAGATGGCGCGGGGCTTCGGTGTGTCCGCGGCGAGGGTTGCCCTCGTTGGTTCCTTACAGACTGGCTTCTATCTCATGGCCGGTAAGTTTCTTCGAGGCGCTAACCAAAGACCTCCGTTATCCAACAGATTGGCTATGTGTGCAGGACCGTTCGTGTCGGCGCTGGCCAACAGGTACGGCTTCCGCTCGGTGGCGATACTCGGCAGCCTCGTCGCCTGTTGCGCTTTCGTCCTCTCCTACTTCGCCACTTCCATCGAGTTCATGTACGTGAGCTACGGGATATTAGGTAAGCCACAGCAGCGGGGCGGAAAATGAATTAAAACATTATGGGATTGGGGAGGGAGAGAGAGAGAGAGAGAGAGAGAGGGGGGGGCTTAGACACGCGAGCGCCTAAACGCGAAGAATGTCGCTGCTTTTAGGTGGCATTGGCGCCGGACTCATCTACGTACCCGCTGTCATCACTACCGGCTTCTACTTCGAGAAGTGGCGAGCCCTCGCAACCGGCATATCCGTCTGCGGCTCCGGGATCGGGGCCTTCGCCCTCTCGCCGATCTCCAGCCTCCTGATCGAGAAGCGCGGATGGCGTGAGGCCATCCTCTACCAAGCCGGTACGTCTATGTGTGGCCTTGGCTCGATTCTCCAATCGATTAAAATGAATGGGATCTCACGTTTGCTTCCTGCTTCGCGAAAACCCCGAGCCCGTGGATTTTAATCGTTCCGTATAATTTGTGTGCATCAATTCTGTTGCGAGTACGCTTGAACGACAGTGACAATCGGGGTGACGAATGAGAGAGGCCGGGCGCGGAGGAGGTCGAGGAAGAAAAAAAAAAATTATCGATAAACAAGCAAACTGGTTATTTAACCAGTCGCGGCTATATAAAAACATTTTCTATCAATTACTCAAAATGTATTTTACTGGCTTAAGTGCGTCTGACTTTAAAAGGCCGATCGATCGAACGCGAGTACATAAACGCATAAGCCGATCGATGAGAATCGATAATATGCCGCCGATAAAAATTTAATTAACTTTATTTAAAGATATGAAACGCTGTGTATCTGAAGATACATAAGCTCGTATGCTAATAAAAATAAGACCTCCGCTCTCAGCCGCGTGATTTATTTCCTAATGATTAATTATCACTATATTTATTATCTAATATCGTGGAATTTTCTACCTAAACGCGAATTCCTTGATAATTTTCGTTAAATGTGTGTCTTTAAAATTATTATATAAATACAACTTTATCAGGCTATGACCTATTATAAAATACGTTTACTCAATTAATCCGTGCGCGCATTCTTACAGATAGGCTATCAGTTGTGAGATTGCGATCGATCCATCTCACTCCTTATATAACTAGATTAATTGCAGGGATGCTATTGAACTGCGCGGTATTCGGTGCCTTGTTCCGTCCTCTCAAGCCAACGAGAGTGAAAGTAATCGGCAATGTGGACGCTGCTGCCGCCGAGGGAAAAACTACTCTGCTGATAAAAGGCACCTCGATGACATCGCTCCACGCAAATCAGCCCATCACCAACCGCTTCTTTGGCACCAACAACAATACCGAATATCCGACAGCCGCCCAACTCCTCGGCAGTAGTCCCGACATAGTAAAGTACGAGATACGAAACGACCATTCTTTCGTCTCCCCTAGTCCCACTCCCCATCTCTCCATTTAGCAGCTCGCAAAACTTTTCGCTTCTTTTCGTTTCGTTCTTCCAACAGTAGCAGCCGATCGCTACACTTGCTACACAAAACGCAAGAGCCGCGCATCCCCCAAAGGCAAATAAGCACCTCGGAGAAGCGGCTGTCGGTGCCGATTTATCCCGAGCTTGAGGTTGTCAGCGACGAGGAGCTCCAATCCGTGGAGGAGGAGAACAATCTCCTCGACGGCGACGTCGAGCGTCTCAATGGAAGAGTGCCGACAGTGAGTATTGGGGAGCGCGCATGAGACATTGCTCTGATCTTTCTCTCTTCAACTCGGCGACGATAGATAGGCCCTTATTATTATCGTCGAAAATGATCGATTTCCCTGGTCGAGCGCTCGTTGCCCCTAGCATTTCACCTCGTATCCTGACCCCGACCAAACATATTCGTCGATATTCCTCTTCCTCCATCGCCCCCCCCCATCCCCCCCATCCCTCTCCGTCACTCTCTCTCTCTCTCTCTCTCTCTCTCTCTCTCTCTCTCTCCCCCTTCTCTCTCTCTCTCTCTCTCTCTCTCTCTCTCTCTCTCTCTCTCTCTCTCTCAGTGTCTCTACGCGGTTTCGCTCCTATCTTTTTTTCTGTTTCCTATCGTTTTATCTGCTCTGCCGCAGATTCGCAGGCACACAATTAGCGATCGACGAAGCCGGGCCAACTCGGTAACCAGCCATAAATCGTTCAAGATCGAGAGGCGGCGCGGCTCGACAGCCAAGGAACCCCAGAGACCGTTTTACAGGGATGATATATTCTACGGGGGCTCGCTCAATAGACTGCCGCATTACAGGTCACAGGTAACGGCGTTGGTCAGCCGAATTAGCGAATTAGCGAAGTGTCCCTCGGGTGGGGCGAAAGAACCTATTCATTTATATCGCTTTCTCACAGATGTCCTCGGTGGGCTATCACATGTCGGTAACTAGACTACCAACCGCTCAAGATCTCGCCGAGGAGGAGAGCGGCAGCTGTTATCTCTGCCCTGAGAGCGTAAGGCGAATCCTGACGACGATGCTCGACCTCAGCCTCCTGAAAAGTCCGAGCTTCCTCATTCTAGCGATAAGTGGATGCTTGACCATGATGGGCTTTTACACTCCGTTCGTTTACCTAAAAGGTAAAGATCCTTAGGGAGTCTAAGCAGGGCCAACACTAACAAACGATTTTTTCAGACAGGGCAATAATCACTGATATCGACGCTAGCAGTGCCATGTTTCTCGTATCGATAATCGGTATCGGGAATACGATTGGCCGCGTTGCTTTGGGCTTCATAAGCAGCTTGCCAGGCGTTGATGCACTTTTGATCAATAATATATTTATCACCGTCAGCGGCCTTCTCACGATGTTTTCCGGCCTTTCTTTAACAAAGGAATATCAATTCTTTTACGCGGCTGCCTTCGGACTCAGCGTCTGTAAGTCTTGCACTTCCGTCAATACAATACTCGCTCTCGCCGTTCTACTCGGACATTCGATAAACTCATTGCATTAATTAAGTCTGAACGTTGATAATAAGCTCCTTCATTTTATCTTCCGGGAACTTGCCACAAGCCGGTCAACACTAGTCGCTCGCTCACTGACGACTTTAATACGTCTATCTCGACTTTTCAATATGTTTTATTCGCATGTAAGAAAACAGCGTCGCGAGAATATTTGCCAATTATGCACACTATAGGATTATCGTTCTGTTTCAGCTGTGTTTGCTTCATTGAGATCGATTCTCGTAGTGGATCTCCTGGGCCTCGAAAGATTGACCAACGCGTTTGGACTGCTGCTACTGTTCCAGGGCCTTGGCGCCACTGTCGGTGCGCCTGTTGCCGGTAATTATCGCCCACTCTCGTTCCTCACTCTATCTCCCGACATTCGCCGCCGCCAGGCTTTTTCACTTAGCCGGCCCCGCACTAACCAACGATTTACTGATTTCATGTGCAGGAGCGTTCAAAGACTGGACAGGCAGTTACGACGCCTCATTTTATTTCGCCGGCGCACTCATTGTCATCTCAGCTGTTATATGTTATCCCTTAAAGAAGATCAACATGCGGGAGAAGCAGACGGAGCAGACGACATTTGGTGAGACTGTGAAATCGTGATGCCAGGTAGACAGCCAGAGGTGCGACAGGGATATCGACCCAGCAAAGATGTACAAGGCTCTATAATGTATGGGCGGCGTGACGGCCTTACCGGACATCGCGCGCCATCTCACCTGACAACATCATCGAGACTCTCGAAACCGTAGTTACAAATCCAAGTGCCATTTAGTCGTCGCCTTGAGAGCGCAAACGGGACGGTTAATTTATTCTTTATCGTGCGTGGAATCGTCGCCACTCGATTATATGTAAATGCGTGTCGGTAGTATGTCGCCGACACGAGCGATATCCGCGTTACCAGAGCTACGCAACATCGCTCCCTTATCTTAACTATTAATTAGCAGCTAGATTAACATTGTACAGTAGAATTTTCGTCAGTTCGTGGATGTGTCTCATAGTCATCGTCGGCTCCACGCCACGATGCGCCGGACAAGTTTTACTATTTGACAATAAATCACAGGAGAATTTATAGCGAGCCATCCCAAGCGCATCCCTGCGATATTTCGTGCAGATCGTGGACGTGCAGAGCGTCACGGAAATGATATTTCTATTAATTTGAAACAACTTTTCGGCTGACATACTGATTATTAAAAATAGATCGGACGATACGTATCCTTAGATTATGATCTACAACTCGAAAAACGTATGCCTCGTTTTTTTTTTTTATTTTTTTTTAATTTTTTTATTGTAAATAACTGCATAACATGCATATGAATATGCGCGCGCACGTATCATCAATTTATAAATGTACTCGCGTGCGTATTACATACATAAGATATTTGTATACGCGGATATATTAATGTATGCGCGCATATAGCTCGATACGTAAAAGTGGATGTGCGTAATAGACGCATAACGGTGGATATTAGAATTTATCGAAATCCCGCCAATTAAAATGTAGCTCGGCTCTAGTTTTCCATTGGTAACGAGTCCGCGATTGTGTTCTGGCTTATTATTTATAAACGGAAGGCAGATAGCGCGAAAGCGCCCTGTTATCGGGACGAGGACCCGCTCGAGCACAATGGTCGAGCGATTTATTGTGTGTAATTCCGGTTGGACGATAGCGCTCTATCGAGTGAGACAGAAGCTCATTCGAGCGCAGTGCGTCGAACCATTCGTAATTACGCGCTTATCCGTTTTGCACGAGACTGCGCCCAATTAAGAAGCATTTTCACAGATTACAAACGTTGTGATCGCTCGATGGAAGATGAGCCACGTGCCTTTTCTCGGCGACCTCAACCATAGGATGAACTTTGCGATTTAAGCGCCAGCTGCTATTAAATATTATCTTCTAGCATTATAAATTATTACAATACTAAAGCGTAATGATATGTTTTTAAATTTGTATTATGATATTTTACCGAGGCCGTAGTATTGATATTTTGTGCCTTCTATTCACACAAACCGTGTACAAATAAGAGCACAGTGGTGCTGCTACGTCAGATAAGTGAAATTTTACTTTGATACTTGATTGTTGTATCCCAGAGCTTCCAGTTTATAAAATTTTATATAGAAAAAACTGTGAGCATATAAACGTACAAGTGTATACACGCGCGAACACGTAAATGTCAACTTATTTTAAGTAATGTAGCGATAATGCAACGCAAAATTCGATACTTTATTTTCTAATTCTTCCGATTACATATACATATCCATGTACAAATAGATATATGTTTCTGTATGTAGTGTGTGTGAGCGCGCGCTATGAGCATGCTAATGTGTGCGAATTGATATACACACGTATGCATAATGAATACTGTTGCGTCGTGCTTATTACGAACAACCGTAAAACTGATCGATCCACCAGTCGATCAAATAACGCATTTTCCCGTATAGTACAATTAGTCTTGTAGTGACGATATTTAGGAAGGGGCGAAAGCTGCACTACATGCCAACACAATCGACCCAATTTACGCGCGACCATTGCAGCACAGCACATAATTATACAGTCGCACGCACGCACGCACGCACGCACGCACGCACGCACGCACGCACACACACAAAATTATAAACACAATATATCCTATAAATATATATATATATATATATATATATATATATATATTGAGACCTGTACGTATATATGTATATATATCATTATTTAAATCAATGAAAGCAAGAAGAGAGATTGTTGAATAAAAAAATTAGATGAAATGGAGTAGCAATGTAAAATAAATGGTATATCCCCTCCCGGATTCGCGCTTATCGCGCCAAGTCGTTATCGCACCCCGGCAATCTCCGTTGAGAATGAGCGAGCTTATAACGGCTGGCTGAGTGAATCCGCAGTCGATCGGTGTTTTTATGTGGACGATCGAGCGCCAGGGTCAGGCTCCCATCCGCCAGTGCATGGCGCCGCTCGAACTGCGGACGCACTGCGACACACCGGGGGTTGGTTGTCTTACGCCCTCCGCGCCCGCGCAGCCCACTGTTGGCGGGAGTGAGGACGGTGGCCGTGCTGGTGGGGGAAAGCAGGTGAATGCCGACGGGGAGTTTCTGATTAAGCGTCGCGGCGGTGGTGGTGATGGTTGCGGTGACGATGACGGCAGCGGCGTCGGTCGTTGTGGCAAGAAGGGCAAGAAGCCGAGGCGAAATTGGCGCCGCCTCGAGTGCGAGCGTCGAGCCCGCTCGTGCAGCCTCCCTTGGGATCGCTAACGAAATTTTGGCGCACTGTGGCGCCGTCGAATAGTGAGTTTTTGGGGGTAGGGGGCACGAATGGCGGAGGCTTGCGTCAGCGCCCGCGTTCATAGTTGAGGAGAAAGAGGAAGAGGAGGAGACCGTGGTAGGCAGGCGCCGCGAGAGACGCGATGCACTGCGGCGAGCCTCCTCCAGCCGCATCCCTCACGGTCCAGTGGCGGCTCTGCGCTCGGCCCCCGACGCTCGGCAGCCGGAAGTATTGTTGAGGCGCGAGCAGCTCTCGAGCCGCTCGATTCTCGGGCTTCTCGACCAGTTGGCCTTCGCACGCGAACGAGCGCCCATGGGCCCGCGCTGAGGATGACGAACAAGGGCCTTGTGTTACCGAGTCCGCGCTACGCCTATCTACCCTGTCCCGTACATGACGCCGGTAAGTCCAGTGGGACAAGAAGTTGCCGAGTAAAAGTGGTAAGAGGGAGGGGGGTTGGGAGTGTGGTTGTATGGTAGCCGATCTCGTCATCGCGGCACATCGATTAACTCAAGCGCACGCAATCACTATGCTCTGGTTCCACGTTGGAGCTGCACCGGGATATTGGTATCGCCTCGATGTCCAATAAGCGACGGGCACGTGCCGACCCGAACGATTGAACGAGACACGGAAGTAGAGTGACATCACCTCGCGGGCCGATAATAGAAAACCCGTAAATAATGTTTGAGGGCGCGTGTCTCCGTGGTTCGACGTCAATGAAGACACGAATCGATAAATCTAAGCAGCAAGGTAAATTACGAGTAGTACACAGACGTAAGATCGAGGAACGGCTCCGGCAGCGCGAACAACTCGGTGGAGGCTTGGAACTTTCGACGGGAGGCAATCGTCATCACTGGGCAAACGTCCTCATGTGCGGCAGTAGGTTCTTGTCTCGAGCAGTGCTTAGGAATGAGGACGCGGGTGACAAGAGGCTCGTCGAGTGGCCAACGCGCGAGAATGGGCTTTCCGAAAAATGGTGGAAAAGCTCGTAAAGCCGCCGGGTAGATGTAGGGCTTGAAATCCGATGTTTGTAGCTGAATAATTGAGGAATTGCGCGGGTCTCGGTGATTTACTCACGCTTCTCCTCTTAAAGAAACCAGCTGGGTCGCGAGCGTCTCGTGCGTCGAGCGTAAAGTGCTTTAAACAACGGGAGAGCGAGCAATGAGCAGCGCTAATGGTTTCTGGGGTGGGGAGCGACGAGGGGCGCCTTAGCGTAGCGCATCGGGGCAGGCGATGTGACGTCATTGGCCAACAGCGAACGCCACGTGCGTCGTTGCCGTCATTGTGATCGTTATAGTTACCGATTCGTTGGGAGCGTGGATTTTGGCAGAAATTCCCGAGGCACCCGACAAGTACCTTGAATTATTTATAATCGCGCCGCGACGCGTTATAAGCGAACTGGGATAACTTTAGTTTGCGGGAGCGCGTGCCAACGAGGAACGCCCCCGTCGTATCTCGGGTGCATCACTAGCAGTTGCGACGTCCAACTATTTCCCTTCCTTTTCCGTCGGCGATCCTTCGAAGATTCAGTTCCTCGCTAGGCGTAAACACCGTGCCACGGATTATCGGTGGGTAGTGCGAGGTGGGCGGCGATCGATGCACCGATCGGCTACTCGACACGTAGCGGCGGACGTCCGATAGCACCGACGACATGTGATCGCATCCGCGATGTATTAATGCGGTTAATAAATGTAAGGAGGCGTGTGGCATCTCGTTGCGCGCGACTGATCGCATCGACGAAGTTTTCGATCGCAAGTCGATGATAAATGAAGTCAAAGAGCTTTGTCGCGATCAATTTTGTGAGTGGCCAAATGGATGCGTGCACGAGTGCAACTGTAGCCTCATTGTTTTGCCACATTCAAACATTGAGATTCAAAACATTTCTAACATCATAAGCACATAAACGGGCTGTATTATTATCATTGTACATTTTTAAATAACATAGCACTTTATTAATTTATCTACTATTTTGTATTCATTTTATATGAGAACTGATGTCCTCTCTCTCTCTCTCTCTCTCTCTCTCTCTCTCTCTCTCTCTCTGTCTGTCTCTCTTTGAAACGCAGGATCGAGCGTCAAACTTGAAAATATAAGCTTTCGTTTCAATCTGTAAAAGTATTCATGTATTAAATACTACTACTAAAATTACAGCGACTACTAACGCTAATACAACCTTTATTGCTAACATCTGTAATAATTCAAAACACTTTCATTAATGACATTGGCATTGGGAAAAAAACAACTATGCTCATCATTCGTGATTATTATATTCTATTATATTCTATTATAATCATACAAGTTGCGAATTCGCCATTAAACTATTTGAATCGTTCCATAGGTGTTTTCATTCAACCGTTTACCGAAATATTTAATGCCATAGCATTTGCCTATACAGTAGTCGTAAAAAACCTTTATTTAAATTAATTTTTTGACTACTTTAAATAGTTGTTTAAAAAATTTTTCACAGTGAACTACTACTGCCACCACTACTACTACCGCCACTACTACTACTACTACTACTACTACTACTACTACTACTACTACTGCTACTACTACTAATACCACTGCTACTACTAGAACTACTACTAATACTATTACTACTACTACTACAACTACTAATACTACCATTAATAAACTACTAATAAAACTACCAATACTACTGCTACTACTCCTACTACTACTACCAATACTACTACTACTACAACTACTTCTACTATTATCATTGATTTATGAGAGCTATCGTTGTTGTTTATAAATTCAATAATATAAATAAACATACATAAAAACATTCGCCTTGAACCAGAAAAATGTTTTGTAAAAACTTAAGTAAATTCAAACTCAGCGATTAAAAAAGGAAATATACAAACAAACATCCAAGTCATACGTGATTTAATATTCAAAGAGATAGTCTACATATGGAAGTATAAAGATAGATGAATTAATAATAAAATTTTTATTGAATGACAGATTCCTTTTAAAAAAAAATCGCACTCGGAAATTTGATCATGTATTTGAATTTAAAACTAAAACAAAATTTTATTAACTAATATTTACAAAAAAAAAATTAATAAAAAATAAAAAAAAATCAATAAATAATTTAAAGAACAAACGTATAGGAAAAAAAGGAATTATTCAAATTACATCCATGATATCACAAAGTTATTAAAAATTTAAATAATACTTTTAATTTTTACGAATTGCATCGAATTAAATTGTTTATAAAAACTCTTAGAAAATTGAGATAATTTAGTAGATTACAATAACAGCTTAAAGGTACGTAACTGCTATTTTTAATCTAATTTAGAATATAGCATTTTTATGCAAGTTGAATAAGGAAAACATAAAATAATTTGCTGTAGATGTACTTTAAATGAAAACATGTGTATTATATATATATATATATATATATAAATATATATATATATATAATCACAGTTATATTAAGAATACCCATAATATGTAGGATTTTGACCCTCGAAACGGAAGCTTAACAATTTATAATATTATTTAACACGAACCAATAACTTTAATGTAAAATGTTTCGCCGCTACTAAACCGAACTTAATTAAATTAAAAACAGTAATACAATAATATATTTGATGAATTTTAATAGATTATTTATCACTACTAACAGAACAAACTTTTATATTTTATGAAATGAAAAGAGTTTTCTTAAAAATAAAATATCGCGAGTACTTTGTTTTTAACAACTTAATACGCAGTTATATAATTTGTTTGTCAATTACAATGTTTTTCCAAACTTTTTATCATAGCTATTTGTTATGAAGCTTTCCGAAACGGCACTCGTATATTTTACAAGTTTCCATATTTAATAAAATTATTCAAATAAAATTAAAGATTTTAAATATTTTTATAGTATTAACAAATAGTATTAGTTAATAAATTTTCATATAATTTTTAACATAAAAGAAACTTATTTATTTGAAAATATAAAGCTTTGATATTTTTTTAATGTTCATCGTATTATGCACTACTCTCACTAAAAGCTTATAAAATATTAAACTTTAAGTATTACAATAGGCGACAGCAATTGTGGCAATTTTAATTAGCATAATATTCTCACCTACGGCATTTTAGTATCTACGTCTTTGACAGTGTGACGCCATATTGTTTTCAGACTAAAAAATAATAAATTACTGTATGCAAATTAGAATAGTCACGAACAAACAGTAAAAGTATTTACGAGAGAAACCTCACAAACTTTGAATAATTCTTTATAATAAGAAAAACTTTATTTAAAAAGAAAAAAAAAAATTTCCATCCATATACGTTTAATGAGCTAGGCAAATTGCTATTAAAAACATGAAATTTAAAAAAGTTTTCAAGATGCACAGAGTGGAACTAGTTTAATGCGATCAGGTATAATACTCGAATCGTCCTCCGTATCCTTGATATTAGCATAATCTCGTAAAATGAAAATTACAAGCCTATTGAGATAACGAAAGTCCAATAAAAGTCTTATCAATTTGCACCTATACAACACCGCATATTCAAGGACATTGTATATGGCTCTGATAAAGCTGCGTTTTTTTTTTTAATGGAATAAGCAGACGCGATAGATAAATTGTATTTTTATAAAGCTCCTCAAGCCCAAGATAATCAACAAATTCTACTTAAAAACCGACCGATTGAATCGACCGATCTATTATCGGCCGTCGACGCTAATGCGCCAGGAGAGCCAGGAAACTCTCGGCCGCGTTCACAGCGACCTTAGCCGCGGTACGTCTGCCGCCTCTATTCTCAACGGTAAATTCAGCAGCCTCGGACAAGGACGTCGGTCGACCCCCACCCTGGCGCCCGGACGTTTATTTATACTCGTGTGTGGTGACGAGTGGCAGGCGGCGGGGGTGGGAGCCAACGCGGACGTAAACTGGAGTCACACCAGTGTGGGCCGCGCTGCCGAAGAGCTCGGATCTCCCCCGGGCGAGTCCATTGTCGTGCGCCGATGAACAATTGCACGTGAATAATTAAACGGGCATCGATCGAGGCTCGTCCTCCTCCCATCCCATTATCCCCCCCTCCCCTCCCCTTGTCACGCGACTTTCGACCTCCCTCTCGTCGTGGTCATCGGCAAAAGGTATCCAGTCCTTCGTTCGCGGATGCTATGTACGACGGCCTATTCCTTCATCGTTGCCTTTTACTCCGTTTTTTTTCCTACGAGCCACGGCCACCTTCTCCTCCTCCACTTCATTATAGCTACCCCCAGCCCCGGATGCCCCCATCCCTCCTGAGCCGCGTGTCCCTGTGCCGGTGCGCGCGGCCGCGATGCGCAAGCATGTCGTCGGCGGGTGGCCGGTGTCAAATACCCCCCACTCCTAACCTGCACCATCTAACGCACTCCCGTGTACGCACTCCAGCAGCAGCCGTGTTTTCCGACCAGACCTCTAATTAGCCGCCCCAGCCATGAATCTTATGTTCCGCAAGAACTTCGAGAAGGGTGCCGGGGTCGGTGGTGGAGGGAGCGTTGGAGGTGGAGTCGGTGGGGGCGTCTACGGAGTCGAGCGCTCGACGGTGGGCGGCGGCTCCGGGGGCGCCTCGGGTACCGGTTCCGCCGTCGCCGGAACCCTGGGTCGACCGGGTCCGGCTCGACGCAGTCGCGAACTCGGCTACTACCAGATGGAACACGACCATGGGGGCCACGCGTACCGCACTCACCTGTTGTTCTCCGCTCACGCAGGCGGCTCACCGCCCGAGGAGTACGGAGAGCGATTCGGTCCGGGACCAAGACGCAGCTCCGGGCCCCACCTGATTAAGTGGGGCGGCGCACCTGGGGCTGGGCTGCCCTCCCAGGCCCAACAGCGGCGAAAACCTAGCGCCGCCCAGAAGGAGCCCAGTGATCTATCCCTTGGATCGAATGCCGCCTCCAGACAGGTAAAGCAGTCGTTCATCGCGACATCTTTCTCTCTCTCTCTCTCTCTCTCTCTCTTTCTCTCTCTGTCTCTCTCTCTCTCTCTCTCTCTCTTTCTCTCTGTCTCTTTCTCTCTCTCTCTCTCTCTCTCTCATATTAATAATAATACTTACACTCATACTTATAATCATATTAATTTTGGTAAGTCGGAGCCATGATTGGCGGACAAACTCGTCGCGTGATTATACTTTTTTTTTATATTTTTTTATAATAATTGAAAGGCCTCGAGGTAAAATAATCTTTTAAAAATAATATAAAAGAAGGAGAATTAGCAGTTCTTTTCTATATTTTTTCCATATAAATAGTCTATTGTATACCGGCGGGCCGCTTCTTTCTGCTTCTTAGGAACTGACCATGCACCACACACCACACACCTATCGATGACAAAGATTCAATCTCCACGACAGAATTACCATCGAGTTATCCAACTGTTGAGCCCCAACCCTCCCTCCATTTCCCCCATTCTCAACCCCAATACCAACATTAAACATTTCCACTCAAAGGACGCAAGCATTTCCCATTATTGTAACGACTTGAGCGCCCGATGCTAGGAAGTTTCGAGATTGTTTATCGCGAGTCACTCGAGCCCCTGAGTAAGACACATTGTGGGCTCGTAATGGCGCGAGTCGCGTCAGAGCCGCGGATGATTGTAAAATATTGAGTGTCTGCGCCAATCCGATTGTGCTTGTGCCAAATGCACGGGCACGCCACTTACCCCTTGATATTAGTGTTGTCTCGTACCGATACTCGCTCGAGTGTCCGACTCTCACCGTCAAGAGGATATTGTCGATAAATGGCTAGCATATGACGGTTGCTTCGAAGAATTTAAGAATTCGAACTACGGGACTATTGTTAACGAGGAAGACGCGAGAGCGTCTTAAGTGGTCGTCTCGCGTCACGTAATTGTGCGTGTTAAAGTCGTAATTTAGAAATTATGATCGAATTACACGCTCGGCTTTCGCTGAGAGCGTAGGAGTGAATTTTCATAGAATATTGTTACCTCTACTAATGCACTTGCCAATATTTAAGAATTAATTGGCTGATTAGAGTGAACGGTCGATAATTTTGTGCTCAACGTTCGGCCGCGATACTTTCGAGCTTATCCCAGGATCATGGGAGTAGGAAGAAATTGTTCGTGCTGAGCGATCGTAGCAAGAAAATGGACGGAGGTAAAGCAACAATGACGAAGGTTGAGATTGTCTATATGAGAATACGCGTGGCACTAGCGTACCGAGAAATTACTTTAATGCCGATCGATCAGACATTGAAATGAGGAAAACATTGGTGATCCTCTCTTTTGAGGAAAAAGCCTCGTTAGGTGTAACGGAACGAGTGCACCTGCGTGTTAGCTGCCAGGTTTCATATTGGACTATAAAATAAAAATGGCTTCGATGGAGGCTCATTGTCAATAATAAAATTAGCTGTAAATGCATGCTAAATACCAATCGAAGCCATTAGCAAATTTTAGCATTGCTTAAGTAAAAGAATGCTAAACGACTACGAATACTCTATGCTTATTGATCTTAACAGCTCTTTATTATTCCGTATTTTTCAAATCAAATTTTGTCCAACTCCTCATTGAAAACTATATTTATTATTATGATTATCTTATAATGAGCAAGCAACGAAAGGGAAATCGATAATGTTAAAATTATCAATTGCTCGAAATATTGAAATTTATTTTTGAGAATGCACACTAAAGTATTATTTTTTCAAAATAAAAGATACATACTGCGCTTGAATAGAATCGTACAAAGACATTGCGTGCAATTTTTAATGATATCTGCTTAATGTACATTAATGAAATAATCAAATCTTTACCGAACTATCCACCGTCGTTCCTTTATGAGTAATATTTTGTATAATCAATGTCCATTATTAATCAATAACCAACATTATAAGTGAATGTAAAAAACGGCGATGAACTATCTTGTTTGATCTATTAGTTTAAATGCCTTTGTAGATGACTACAAAATGTATACATTAAAGCTGTCGGATAGCACGTAAATTGTAATAACTTGATATTGGCAATACTTTATTGTTTGAAGGCATGGATGAAACCCATACGATATAATCATACTAATTTTATGAAAAATACGAAACTATCGAGGCGCACAACTATCAGTTCCAAATGTTCTATTTCGTTAAACATTTGAGCTTCGTAGTGAGGGGAGTGGGGATAGGAATAAAAAAGAAAGCTACTTATACACAAATAAGTATAATCGTCGAATCCCTCTGTTTCCAGCATTGCAAAACAAATTGAAGAAATGTTAACTAAATATTATGTGCATACGATTTACAAGTTCACTTGCCAAATACGAAGGGCCGATATTTTTCAGATATTCAATGGCTATTTAATGGAAAGGAAAAGGAAATGAAAGGAAAAAAGCAGGGAAATATGGACTTGAGTAAGGCTCGATTTTTAAGCTCAATAACGCCAATTATTACTAAATGCCGATGAAGAAGATTAACTTGACGAACAGTGAAGAGTGTATAACGTAACGTTACAATAACAATTTTAATCTCATTTTGGTTGGCCAATCAGAATTTAATACAATCCAGATGTGAAATCGTTCGTATAATACAAACTTCCGACAAAAGTATCTTAATTGGTAAAAGCTCCGCGAAAGAGGCATAAATAACCGTGATCCAGCTTGCTTCGTACGCTTTTAACTTTGAACCGAAGCTCGGCTTTTTCGATAATTGGAAAGAGTCATGCGCAACCGAAAGCTCAAAGAAAGACTTATCGATGAGAGTATAGTGTTAATTTTTAATAAATTACGGCTCCGAGGTCTGTAATTAAGGATACGATCGCTTCTATTGCTCGACGCTTACGTTGTTTTGTAAAAGTGAAAGCGAGAGTTATAAATCAATAACAAGTCGAGGAATGGCAAATGCAAGATATATATTATGCAGAGATGGGCTATAAATCGTCGACCTTGGGACGAATAATAATTATACGATCATAGCCAGACTTATAGAGTAAACGTTTTAATGACGGCGCCCAAGTGCACGAGAAATATGTAGCACCACGGGCGACCTGACGTCCGGCATTTACCAATCATTCGAGCGACATTTTGTAAATACGCTATAAATATTGAGCGTATCTCGTTCGGTCAATAAGCTCGGCACATCACCCAAGCCATCTAACGCAATCGCCATTTATTTCGCCTTTATTTTTATTACGCAACCGTACCAGCGCCAATAGCGCTCGGCGTTAATCAGTAAAATATGTACAAATACCGAGCGCTCGTAATCAGAATTTGGCATAAACGAGTTCGTATCCAACCTTGCGCGCACATCGCACGCAATAAAGATTGCTGGCTCGAGGTGTATCGAGCACTTTATTCGAGCTTTTTACCGACGACTGAGCATGTTTCGCAGGTATCGTTCAGCGGTAATCGGACTTCAGGCAGTTACACGCCGCTGCTCATTCAGGGTGCAAGTCCCACGCGGAGCGAGCCCATCTCCCTGGCGACGCTCGATCGCGACTGCTTCATCATACCTCTGGCCTCGCTGGAGCGATTCCTGCCCGCGGGAGTTCCCGTTGAGTATACCAAAGTCGCGCTACCTCGACAATCTAATATCCCGACGAGCTAATAGCCACTTGACCTTTCAGAGTGTACCGAGCGCTGACAAAAGGCGGCCCGACAGTCCGCTCTCCGTTCTCGAGGTCGAGGACCCCAAGCAGTGTATCCTCGCTCACTTAATGACGCCAATGGAGTCTCTGGATCCACTCATCGAGTCCCCGGTCGCCCGGCCCCTCGTCCTTCAACGCGACACCGCGGCAGAGCTCCTGGCTGAGATTGCCCCCAGTGCCTCCCAGAGCATACTACTCACCAATATGGAGCGCAACGGTAGGGCCGAGTCATCGGTCATCGTCAAAACGACTCGCAGCGTCTCCGACTGCTCGATCAGCATCCGCGAATAAGTCTATCGTTAGCCGTGACACACGCGGAGTTTTTGCAATTTGGTATTTTTCTTTGACGCATTCTTGGCCATTATAAAAGTATCAGCAAAATGCTGCTTGGCCCCAGGTCGTCACATGCCTAAGTCCCGACGACGCTATGACCTCGGATGATTTTACGGTACAATTGCGGATATTGAGTTTTTGACTTTTGACCCACAAAGCAAGCAATCGATCGACTATCAAAATCGGCTTGGATTACGTAAGATTTCTTTTTGCTCGAATAACGAGTGTAATGTCAATTATTCGTCGATGCCCACTTCGTCGGTTCTTTTTTCCTGCTTGGCCGTATTTTCTATGTATAATGTATATGCTTTCTATGAATATTCATTCTTGTAAAAGAGCATTTTATCAATTAGATTAAGTCGAGTTTATCAATGCTTGAGTGCTTAAGCGCGTCGGTTATGATCAAATGAGAATTAAAGTAGCAATTTCAGCTTATTAGTAAAGATATTCTGAATAAGTATATCTATTACGTTTCTACCAAAAATCTTAATTCCCAAAAGGAAATAAAGTAATTGCAATATATGGAGCGCGTTATAATATAATTGTTGGCTTGGCTCGACTATACATGATTGATATTAACGATGCCATGCCAAGTCAAGACAAGTAAAAGTAAATGAAATTCCAGATCAGTAATCTAAATAAATTCAATTAAAATTGAATTTCGCCTTTCCCAACTTCAAAACTGCAAATTCTTATTAATCCTGACTTATGATCTTATAATAGCAAGCCAATGGCTTTTAGCTTGGGAAATTATCAAAGGTCATTGCCTAGAGTCAAGGAAATAAAGTTTTTAAACTATTTGCTAACTAAGCTTTATACAGATAGTCTTGTATGGACAGATAACTCAATTAAGTCGTTGTGTGCTGTTGAAATGTCGCTTTTAATAATTTCACTTTATTAAAGTATTTATAAAATAGCTTACGAAGCGATTAAATAGTTAATTATTATTGTTTATTTGAAATTATTTATATAATTTTTCCATCAAAAATTACTATTTAAATAGTGTAATCTATGAATTCTTATAATTTTTATAATTCAATATTTAAAAATCGATCGAGCAATGGATCGTTTAAAATCTTAAATTTAAATCGCCATTAATTCCAAAGTACGCTCAAATTTTTACCGTAAAATCCAATTACTAATTACTTTATTCCCAGTTTAACAATGATAATTCTAATAGATTCATTGTAACGTACCCATCGCGCCTTTCATTCATCATGAATATATCAATATTTGTCTTACAACAAACTTTAAACAAGCGAGTCCTCGTAAATTATAACCAAGCATTGCCCTTCTTTCAAACGATTTCACTACGACTTCTATACGAAAAGAGGAAAAAGCTAGAGATAAAATGTAAACGAGCATTTGTTTCAGTATTCAATTTAAAAAAATCGTACAGCTATTAAATTACCGAACCAGCTCGTACGAGGCGCTAGATATATATGTATGTTAATGCGTGATCTTTTACTTTCGTTCGAAGCAGCAGACTTTCCATTTATCACCTACTACATAGTGAATAAGCAGAAGATCGATCCCGTCGACTTCTATCAGGAGGTGCAGTGCGCGGCACTGAAGAAATTCGACCCACGGGATTTGCGCTACGCGGCTAACCACAACCTGGACCTCTTCAATGAAGTCGCAACGATTGCAAGGCCACCGCTAGAACCACCGGGGGGAAGGCCACCGATCCCGTCCACAGGCTATATCGTTTCGATATTTAAAGTTTTTGAGGGCGACGATCGCTTAAAATTCGAGCAAAATTGGCTTTACTGGACCGGTAGTGTATTTCATTGTATATCGTTATCCATTGTTGCAATTAAAAACAAAGAATGACTCCCCTTAGTAATCTCTTAATTTACCTAATATAAGAGCTTTTTCTTGTATTAATTAACTTTTAACTACGTCATTTAAATTCTTTTCTACTTGGGAACTCGGGTGACATTAAACTGCCGTAGAATATTTGGCTCATTGATTACTCTGACTTCCAGTAATCTCTTAACCCGTATAACAAAGTATACTTTTCATTTTCAAATTCTCGTTAATTTTTAAAAGTAATCTTTGCATTTCTATGGAAAATAATTCAATAATCTGCTATAATTTCATATAATAATTATAACAATATTTAATAATAAAATATATGACAAAAGATCAATGATAATGTAAATAAATAAATAAATATTTCTTACATGACAAATGTCCACAAAATATAGGTGTTTACGTATGAAAATAATTCGAAAAATATAAGAATTACTTTTACGAACGTGAAAATTCTATTCCCAAAAGCTTTAAAACTATTATACACGGTTATTATGCACTTACATAATGACATGATTATACGGAGAATAAATATAAGAATATAATCATAACGTATAGGGCGCACCAGCAATATATCGATCGCACAATGCAAGGTTGAAAAAGAGTAGACATTACATAGATAATTTAACTAAAACTCAAGAAATGCCTATTAAATTGTACGTGCTTGCGCGTGCGTGTTATAGGTGCTCGCATGATGTACCGGTATCTCCCAAAATCTGTGGGTCTACGACGAATCACCCTCCATAAATCCATGTCCCAAGGCGACAAAACTTATCTGCTGATCTGCGAATGCTCGGAGCTTCAAGAAAACTTGTCCGCAGCCGCGATATTACTACCGGCGCTCAGGGCACGACTCTGCGGTTACATCGGACTTTATCGACCGTCGGTGTGCTTTTAATTTCCCAAGGCACTTGTGAAACGAAACCAACGGGTTATCGACAAACAATCCCTGTACATAGACGAATAGATGCGATTTTTACATATTACATCATGCTCACATATCACGATTTTCCATAGGCTGTGATATTCGACAACGCATGATGAACAACAACACAATATATATATATATATATATATATATATATACACCTCTTGTGCATAGACCAATTAGGTAGGCATTACACTATATTCACTGTAATCAAATGTAATCATAACAAAAATAAGTTATACATCACTTTGGAAACACAAGCCACGAGTATAGGCTTTTTAAATGAGAATCATACTAATATCGACATTCTTCGTAAATAAGGCCCATCACTTTGGTACCAAAGTTTTATAGTGCAGTGAATGCACTGCCCTAAACAAACAAAAGAACAAATAATAAATTTCTAAAATGCATTATCGCAACTTGGCCTTGTAGTACAAAAATCTAAATAAATAGCAGTATGCTTATTGCCTACATTGACAATATAGTTCAACTAATTGCGCAGGCGCAATTTTTAAATTTTAATTTTAAATCTCACGTAGATTGTTATCATTGATTATTATTACATGTACATAAGTAAGTTATTTAACCTACATATATTTAACAATTTGAGAAAGAACACAAAGAACTCTTGAGAATGACAATAGATTTGCAATTGTTTACTGTGATACGTCATCCACGTGGTATTCTTACAAATGAATAATCATGAATGACAAAATCATAAACTATCGACTGTGATCGCATACTGTCTAGAAACAAATTGTAAAAGAATAAAAATTTAAGAAATAAGGACATTTTACATCGATATAATAGGCTTATTCGTTACTTTAAGATGACTAAATTTAAATTCCTATCAAATTTATTTAATAACTCAAATTGATAAAAAAAACTTGCATCACAGATAAACACGTTCCAAACATATTGGTAGTATGCTTTATAATAGATAACGAAATTATTATTAAATCACACTTTATTCGTATCTATAAATAAAGAAAAGAAAAACAAGCAGAAAAATAAATGAATACTAATATCATGTTTATTCAAGTACATTAAATATCCTATCGAATCCTAATTTTTTTTATAAGCCTATAATTCAACGACAATTATTATTGGAATGAGAAAAAAAAACAAACTAAACAAATAAAGAATTTTTTTCCTACATAAAAATCCTTAGATGTTACATTTATATTTTAAATATTTTAAATGTCAGATTAAATGTTATAATACATCTTAAATACAATGAAGTAATATGTGTGTTCATTTAATCATTAATTCATCTTGTTTTTATAATTATCAAATAACACCATATTATTTTATGTATTTATTTTATTAGTTTTTTTTTAAGAAATTTTTAATAAATTAAATTCAATATTCAAATATAAAGACATTATTGAGATATTCTGAAGAATCAAAAATATTTTTTAATCATTTAAATTAAACATTCTTATTATACTAAAAATAAAATTAAAGTATGAAGAATTTATTATTTTTAATCACCAAAATTTTGCACATTTATCGGAATTCAATATTTTGGTATTTACTGTTTTGGACCTCTAAATCTTCTTCTTGCATCAATCTGTTAGCAAAAAACAGTTTCAAATAAACAATTACATATATAAAGTAAATTCTAATAAATCAATCTGCTTCTACAAATAAAATTTACTCGGTTACTCACAATGGATCTCTTGCACTCAAAAAAGGTATTTTTCAAGATATAACACTGCTCGGGAACAGATTCATGTTTTGATAATAAACATTCTCGAGGTGTTATTTTATGCTGAAAGAAGACATAAAATAAAATAATTATTTTTAAATTACATACATAAATTATGTTTTATATTTTAATATTGACTAAAAGCAATAATATTTATAAATTAACTTATGAATCATAACAAATAATTTATATAAAAATTTCACCCACATAATTGTAAATTTACACGTAATTTTATAAACTAAAAAGTTAATATAAAAGTTTTAGGTTGGATTTAACTGAGTTTCTTACTACTTTACAGCAATCGGTTTGAAGTAAGCACATTTTTAATTGTGCACGAAAATTGGCACATTTTGATTTATCCTTTAATCTTTCGTTCGGTTGAGAATATTCCATATTAATACACTTTAAAAAAGTGATAATAATATAAATCTTCTATTTCTAATTCACGGACATTAATTTGATACGCATAGTCCTAACCAAAATCTTATTGAATCATTTGCGTATTTGATTTAATGCGGATACCACAATAAAAATAAAAAAAAAAAACAAAATAGCAACTCTCATTTAGTTTGTTACCATAAATTTATACAATAATTTGTGATTATAATTTATTCAATATTTTTATAAATGTTATCTTTTTTTGTAAAAGCATCGATTTTCAATGTACAAAACTAATACACAATCCTTGATTATTTTTATTATACCACATTGAATAAATAAAGTTATGAAGTATTATATATGATGATTGTATTATAAATAATATTTTAATTTTTATGTTTGTTTGCATTACATTAATTTAAAGTGCTTTACATTTGAATTAGTTGATTTTGTTATACTGTATTTGTAACTACCAAGTAGTAATAATTAAGATTTTGATTCTAATTTTACATAAAAAATGAACTATATAAGCGAAGAAGAAGATGGTTTCATACAAAATGATATTATGTTATCAACAGCTGTTAATCCTGTAAGAGAAAACTCCACCCAACAAACAGGTATAATTTATAATTTTTCCAAATAATTGTAATTAATTTATATATTTATAATTAATATATTTCTTATATCTCTTAATGTTTTAGGAATTGGCTTAATTGGAACAATTTTTTTAATAATAAATGCCACATTGGGTGCAGGTTTATTAAATTTTCCAGAGGCATTTGATAAATCTGGTGGTGTTGGAACAGCTATAATTGTTCAATTAATATTTTTAGTATTTATTACCTTTTCGTTAGTTGTTTTAGCAAATTGTAGTGATATTACAAATACTTCAACTCTGCAAAGTACTTTTGCAGGACTATGTGGACCAAACTCTTTATTCTTTTGTAGTTTTTGTGTTGCTACATATAGTTTTGGATGCTGTGTTACATTTTTAATCATTATTGGTGACCAATTTGATAGGGTCTTTGTAACATTCTATGGAATGGATTATTGTCACACTTGGTAATTAATAATTGCATCATTAATAATTATTAAATGCATTATTCAATATTAATTATATCAATATTATTTAGGTATTTAGCAAGGCCATTCATAACATGCCTTTCAAGTATAGTTTTTATTTTACCTTTGTCATTTTTCAAAAGACTCGATGCTTTGAATTATGCCAGTTCTATTGGTTGTATAACCATTTTATACGTTGTGTGGCTAATAGTTTACGAAAGTTTTGATCATCATAAGCTCCCATCAAAGCCAATGCACATATGGCCAGAAGAAGGATCGCAAGTTTTACAAATTATACCTATTGTTTGTTTTGCTTATCAGGTAAATATTATAATATAATACAAAGAAGTTGATTTTATTCAAATAACTAAAATGTACTTACAGAGTCACATGACTGCTATACCCACTTACGCATGCATGAAAGATAAGCAAATTGGAAAATTCACACTTTGCGCCATTATTAGTATGATTATTTGCTTTATCTTATACTCAACTGTCGGTATCTTTGGATATGCAACATTCGGTATTGGAAAAGTTCCAAGTGACATTTTGCAAGGATACTCTGATAAAAGCACAACTTTAACTATTGCAATTCTAGCAATAGCTATTAAAAATTTTACAACATATCCAATAGTGTTATATTGTGGGAGAGATGCAATTTTGAACTTAATCGGCAGAGACGTTGATTGCCATTACTTAATAAGATGTTCCATAACCATAATCTGGTTTATTTTATGTTTAGTAATTGCTATTATGATCCCAGACATTTCACCCGTAATTAATATGATGGGTTCACTGTCAGCTGCATTTATATTTTTATTCCCAGGAATTTGTTTACTTCAAAGCACATTACAGAAAGATCCTCAATTATATTTAAATAAAGATCGATTGATGATGTTTTTAGCTATTTTTTTAACAGCACTTGGTGCTTTTGTTTGTGGAATTGTATTTGTAGAAGCTCTTCAAGATTTAAAAAAATCATCTTCAGAGTCTCCTTTAATTACTGGATTTAAGGCACAAATGGGCGCAAGTTTATGTAAATAATTTGAATTGAAAACAGTTATAATTAAATACTTTGTGCCATCCTTTAAATTGATATATTAATAAAAGATCTGATAATACAAGACTGATGTAAATACATTCTTATTTTTATACAACATAAAAAATTGTTGTTTAATAATGTAAGAAATTTTTGTAGATTGATAATAAAATTATATTTCAATTTTTAATGAGTATTTTTATTTTAATTATTTCTTTTAATAAAATTTCACGCAAACAACATTAACTTCGTAATATAACAAATAATCCAGTTTTACGACTGGATTGAGTTATCAGATTCCATCGAATCTTGAATAGAAGAGTCGCTTGAAAAATGGTGTAAGATTTTTCCATCGGTAGTCTCAACTTGACTTATTGTTGTTTTACAGAAAAAACAATTTCTGTTATTTAAAAGATGTCGATCTATGCAAGCGCGGCAAGACGTATGATTACAAGGCTTAAATATAACAGAAATTGAAAAGGCATAACAAATTGTGCACAAATCGTCATCGTTACATGGTGTTTCAGCCGATGATAATTTTGTACGGTAATAATCTAAATGATGTATCATTTTCTTCACAGAATCAATTTCCATTTGCGATACGTCATTTTCGTCTGAAGCACGATTTAAAATATTCAATATTAAATTTATTATTAATGTAAAACCTTTTTTTATAAATTTACTTACAATTTAAAAATGAAAATGTTTTCACATGTTTAATTTTCGTATTTTTAACAGCACCCAATACAAAATGCAGAGAAGTCATTTGAAAGCTCGGTTCGGTTATAAATGCCTTTGTTACCTTTGGGATTTCATCTGATTCTATAAAATTAAATAATTTATAAGATTTTATAAAAGACTAGTTTTGCTTATTTAACTTGCCAGATAATAACATATCTTCCTTCAATAAAGCTAGAATAATTCCAATAACAGCAGTTAAAATTGGAAAATGATCGACTGACTGAAGCTCGGGTATATCTAAGAGCACAACATGCTGAAAAGAACTTGTCTGCATGCTTGTTCTATTTAATATTTGACAAAGCAACTGAAATAAAAAGAAAACGATGCTATTTACATCAATAGACTGAATTGTTTTTAAAAACTTTATAATTATATTTAACCTGACATAATCTAGCCAAAAGGCTTTCCGTGGATGTTAAAGTGACATCTGTAAAAACATCGTTGGCTACAGAAGCAATCATTTCTAAAACTCTTAAAAGTGATACAGCCAAATCAAAACAAGTAGCACAGATTCTCAATTGTCGTAATTCGATTAGAACGCGTTCTGGTCTTGCAGATGCATTATGAATCTCTTGCACCATTCCAATAAATTCTGAGAAGGCCCAATTCAATTGATTAAGCAATGAATTTAAAAACAAAGTTGTGGTTTGATTATTGTTCAATAAAACTTCTGTAATATGATTTTGATATATTAATGATGGACATGGTTCTGCAAAAGAGAAATAATTGATTCGATATAGTTACCCTAGCGACAAAATCAATTAACTAATGAATGTATCAATGTACTTATGGGTTGCGCCATAGATTCTTGATTTAAGATTTTCGGCCCTACTTTTTTAGTTACATGAGGACTTTTATCATATCGAAATGCAAACCCATGACCTTGCCAAAATCTTACTAAAATCCAATTAGATTGAGCCCAGGCTCTGTTTTCGTACGATTTTAATAAATTTGAAACCATTTTATGTCTAGATTCTCTTGAAACGCTTTCTAACGCATCAAGAGTCATTGAATTTGAAGCAAAACCAGCCAATATAAAAATCAATGTATCTTTTGAGTTCGCATTTACAATTCGGGTGTCTAGAAAATGATTACATAAAAATTCTGCTATATCTTGTAATATTTCTTTGAAGCTGGCAATATTTTCTATCGGAACTGTTGGATGAATGTGGTTTTTCAGTCCAGTGATTAAATCCGCTAAGACCTTTAAATAAAATTCAGGAATGAAACTGAATAAATTACCGCTTTCGCTTGTTTTCGTTAAAGTAAGCAGGACAACTTTTAATAACCACACTATTCGCTCTTGCTTTTCTTCCGAGAATACAACTGCTCGAACCCAAGCCATATGTCGAGCTTGTTCGGTTAATTTTTTTTTAAATATATCGATTGTTTTTACTAATTGTGTTTGAACACTTAAAGATTCCTGATCCTTCAAATTTTTAATTAATTCTAATCGATTTTTAGAATTCGACATTGCAATGGTATAGTCAGACATAAGATCTCTTATATATGCAACTTTTGCGATTTGCTTTTTGGCTGTTGCATGATAAAATAATATAATTCCATCTAACAATTCAATAAGTGAAATTGTTGAGTCTAATGTTCCCAAGTGCATTGCTGTTCTATCTTCTCTATTATTAGCAAAATAGCCTATCCTTTCTAAAATAGTAGAACCGCCTACGTTCATCGAATTCAAATTTAAATTTCGAGCAAAAACTGATATAACTGGCAAATCTAAAAATCTAGATGATTCTCCAAATAGACTTGATGTTAAATTAGAATTTTCATTTTCTCTTGCTATTTGATGATCCGTCCCAAGTAATTGAATTAAATCATTTTTAAATGTTTTATTAAGATGAGACAAAACTCCACCAATTCGATCGATTCCTGAATAATTTATAGATGAATCACAGAATGATCTGAAAAAGTCGCCCAAACAATTATATATATATATACGAATAAAAACAACTTAATTTAACAAATACCTGTATGGAATAAAGACTGGACTGGTTCCAATTTCAGCATCCCATAACATTCTAAACGCTACTAAAAGTCGATGAAAACAACATAACGTAATGGGTAAAGGTGTCTGGTACATTGGCATTGGCTGTAGAAATTCAGACTAAACTCTTTAAATTAGTATGATTATTATGATATAATAAATTAATTTTTCTTTAAATTACTTACCCGACTTGATAATAAATTTTCTTGAACAAACGTTCGAAATTTTCTTAGAAAAATTTCTCTCGATGTAGGTGTTGTTGCATTTCCATCTACGTTGTTTAAAAGTGTTATCAATAAATCAACCTGGAGTGTTTCTACTTCTATTTTGAAATAATATATTATCTATATTTAGTTTTATAAAGCACATAAAGAATATATAAAAATATTCTATAGGGTTTAAATACCTGATATCCAAAATTTAATTTTATCACAAGCATTCATATAATCCTGTTTATAGTTTTCTATCGATAAATCTATTGGATTGGTTTCCCACCAAATATCACCTATAAGATTATTCAAGCATTCTTCATCCAAAGGTTTGACATGAACAAAATTAGCAAACTTTACTTTATCAAATAAAATAAATTGCAACAAATATTGTCTAGTTTTTTTATGTTGACAAAGGCCATTAAGCAATGTTAAAATTGTACGTTGATCAGGATATTGAAGAACAACCGATACTTGACGAAATGCCGATGATAAATATGCTACGGTAGTTTCTAAACAAATTTTCATTTCGTTACTTTCTAAAAAAGTCCATATTAAATCTAAACAAGTGAATAGCATTGAAATATCAGTTTCTATAAGTTTTTTAATAAATGGAACAAAAATATCTTGAGTAATGTAAGGAATTTCGATCAATGGACCAATTTGTTTTAAAATACATCTTGCTAAACACGCCAAGAAAGTTCTATTAGTGATAATTTGTTTACTTTTACTCAAACTCTCTATTCTATTATATTGATAAAGAAGTTTTTCAAATAAATTAAATAAAATTTGAGAATTTTGTAGCTGATTATTAGGAGCTTCTTGAAGTAATTGATAGCCTTCAACTGGATATCTCATTGGTGTTGTTCCAAAATTTGCTGTTAAATTTTCAGCAAATGCTAAGCTAACTGTTGGAAAATAAACAATGCCTGGACCCATTGATATTTTTGAAAAGGCTACACCAAGATTTTTTCCATTTCTATAAAAGCACATTGTTCCTTCTTCCATATCTATTGTACAACCAATAATATCTCCTGAAAGCCATGATTCTCCATATTTGTGCGTTGATACATTCCACTTTCTCATTCGATTACCATCAAATGCATAAGAATTAACTACATCACCTAATTTTTTAATATTATGACAAATAATTTAAAATATATATATAATTATTTTTTAATACTTTTTAATATTATGTTAACATACCAACTCCGAATTCTTTACTAAATTTACATTGTATTGTACTCCAGCCTAGTTGCATAACTCCTTTTGAACCTAGTTGTACTTCGTACATCCATTTACCTCGGTAAACACCAGTATTTGCCCTCATCGTACCAAAATTACTTTGTGCAGTGACACTAAGCTTATCAGGCGATACAATAAATAAACCATGATGAGTGGAGGTATCTAATACTACAAACTTTGGTCCAAGTCTTCCATCTCTATTATCTTCTAACTTCTTTACACCACTTTCTTTTATTAATATAGTGCCAAATAGTTCATCAATTACTTTAATTATTTGCTGGATACTACATTATATAATTTTAATAATTTATATTATTTTTATAAACTAAATAGTTTAAAAAAAAAAACTATATATATATATATATATATATATATATCTATACATACTCTGCATTGTCTTCGCTAACTGTTTCATCATTTGGAGGATTAATTTGTGGATAAAAATATGATCCAAAGATATTGGATGCTACTTCCGTTAAATTCATTATCTTTCAAATATAGAAAGCTTTAAAAATGAAATTAAACATATATAAATGAACTAATATTACTACGAATTAAATAGCGAAATATGTAAAACTTGAATTATATGCGACAAAATACTTACTTGAAAATAAAAAAATGTGATTTTTATCAATTTGCACATTTCAGGTTAATATTCCAAATATAATGGTTTTACTAAAATTAAATATTGTGGACATTTAATTTGAATATTCATAATTGGTAATTTATGAAATAAATTATTAATTCTAAGTATTAAATTTATATGTTATGCAGTGTAAATTGTTTATTAAATGGCGAGTGACTGACATAATTATACATAACAAATATAATTCAAGATTTTGTACTACGCGGAATACTAATACTTACTCATCTTCAATTTTAACCGCAAGATGGCTACTACAAATATAAAAAATTTATGTACAAGAATTATAAAAATTATTAAGTCAATGTTTTCAAAATGATATATTTTCTAATCGTTCTACAATAATAATTTTAATAACAAGAAATATAACTGAACAAATAGTAAACTGATTGGATAAAAACAGGAAATAAATAAAAAGAGAAAGAAACAGTGAAAAAGAAATAGTGTATCAGCACGGTGCGGCGAAGGGGGGCGGGGCAGGAGGGTATATATAAAATACGTTTGTTTTTATGTAAAAATTTGCAAACTTCCAAGATTCTAATTCTTACATTTATAGCCGATATAAATGTATACAAAAATACCAAATTAGTTTTTGTATATTTGTATAATTAGAATTGAAATTTTAATTTATGTTAATGAATTTTATCATATAAACATGAGATAATAAGTTGTATACAATATTGTTCTTTTAACCTTTACATGAAATATATTCTTTAGAGACTATTTAAATTTATGACACATAAAATTATAAATATAAATTATTATTTATTCTTGAAAAAATTGTCATACGCTCGTCAATTTAAGTATTTTACATGAATTGAAAAATATCATTCTTACATAAGCAAATAGGGATAAAATTTATTTAAATTAACAAAAAAGCAATACTAAACATAGAAAAATAAGTTCACAACATTTTATCATAAATTATTCACGTTTTACAAAAATAGAATAAAAAATTAGATTATCACTTGCACAAAACCTATCAAGACTGAAGACCGCGAAGACTAATGAAACACTGCCAATCTCTCGAAATGTTATCTAGAAATATTTACTTAAAAAAAAAAAAAAAAAAAAAATTTAGTAGCAGTCAAGAATATTTATAAAAATTGGTTTGAAAATTGGGGTAAAACTTTAAACATATTGATTTTAAAATCAATGCCAATTCTAATCATTGAAGTGAAAAAGACTGGCAAAATATCCTAGATTTTATTTTAATTATCAGTATAATCAAACGTTAGTATATCGAGTAAAATTGTGAAATTTGTTGTGATACTTTAAGCTTGAAATTTATTTATCTTCAAATCAATATCGATTTATAAAATTATTTAGCAATTCGGACAGGCTTTAACGATCATATGCATTTAATTCAACGATAATTTTTGTTAATCTACGATTATTTTATAATAAATTCAATATTATTTATATATTTATGATCTTCTTAGGTAAATACATTATTTTTAATAATATGTTAAAACCAAGTGATAACTGTTATGGATTAACGCGACATACGACTGCCGCAACGTACGATCATCGCATATAACAACCACATCAAGTATATCAAAATATGGCAAAAGCTACAAAAGCTGCGAGAAAAATTAGAAATTAAAACGAACGCGATAAATAGAAATCCAAAAAGAAATGCAGGCAAGACTTAAGCGACGCCAGAATCGACGAATGAACAACATTAATCTCCAATCGCATCATCAGAGAGGCTTTGTTGAACGCACCCGAGGCATTTTCATTGTAGTGAAAGAGTAAATCAATGCCGATACATTCATTCATAAGAATTTGCGATTAAAGGTCTTATGATAAATTACTTTCCCACTAATACTTTCCATTATTTATTCCAAATCTCATAAAATTTTCCATCTCTCATTATCCAATCAATAAAATTCCTCTGCATGAATTAATCATTGTTATTACAAGTATCCCGCTCCTTATATTGCAAGTAGTCAGAAAGAAATTAACGCAATTGTAAAATAATCAAAGTAACAACATTAATGGTATAAGTAATATAAAATCCATGGGTATGCGTAAATATAAGGAAAGCAGTATATTATTAAATTATTAGTACTTGTCATGTTTACTTTATATAATTAATTAATGCGTTAGAATTGCTCGATCCTTTCTTTGAAAAATACCATAATTTTTTAATTAAAAATGAGCAAATGTATATGTATGGAAAGAAATTCAGTGAACGAAGGAATTAACCATCACTTCCGTGTAATAGCTTTAAGATCACATAAAAATGATGTCAAAAACTGGAACTTTCGATTTCTTCAATATAAAGAAAAATTTTTTTTATCAACGATCTATGCATCTGCGGCAAAATACATAGACATATTAAAATATTAAAATTAAAATATTAGACATATCAAATAGACCTATTAAAATATACATATTAAAGTATAAGCACATAATATTAAATATTTAATAATGTGATAAAATTACGTTCAATTAACGAAAAGACAATTATAATTTTTTCATACATTTCATATTGATATATTCTTCACCTTTTTTTTTTATTTATTTTTTTTTTAACAATTACTGTTATCTATCGATATTTTATCAAATTTTTCAATATTCCTATTAATTGTATATAATAAATAAACGATGAATGTAGTAAACAATTAAAATAACCTTTCAATTTATAAATCCATGGACATTTCATGTTTGAACGTGGGTGTATAAACCTGGTACCATTGAAATTTTATCAATATTTAATACTCCAATATATATTTAAAATAAAATAAAAAAAATTTTAACGCAACGAATGATTACACGATACCTATCGATTAATACAATTAATTTTTTCGAACGATATAATTAATATAAAAGTATGGTGATGAAAGCATAGGTGATAATCGATTGCCTATTATATGACTAATAAAAACTTATTAATCAATCAATCGATTATAATTATATTTCTGATGCATGTTAATTGATATTCATAATAATGAGAACAAAGATGGGTAGGAAGATTGAACAAAAGTTAGAATAATCCTTTTCAAAGTATATATTTATATTGCAGATCGCATATGTCAGGCATTAGGTAAAACTGGCAACCATATTTTTATCATAAAATCTTGTATATTTATCACGGACTATGCGCGTATATATTTTAAAATTATAAAATGAAACAGGTACTTATTCGATTTTGAAGGAAAGCTATAAGATAATTGCCAAGCAGTTCGCCAACTACTTGTACTGCAAATATTTAAAAATACACGTTTTTTATTGCCATTGTATACACATAAATTTTCACTGAGAAAAAATGAAAAATATTCTGTTTACTGACGATTTTTTGTTTTTTTTTTTTTTTTTTTTTTTTTTTTTTTTTTTTATTAAGCAATCATTGAAATATAAATTAAGCCGTTATGTATATAGGCCGTTACGGTATATAAACATAAAATTGGCTTAATTATTATAGAAACCGGTTGATATTAAACTTCACAGAGGAATATGAGTAATTGCGTTTTAAATTTTTAATAATCTTAGTGAAAACGTATTTAAATTTTATACGCTAAAAAATGGCAATAGAAATATATACTTAATATAATCATTATTTAAATAATTTTAATTACTTTTAATTTTCACCTATAAAATGTTATGGAATTATAATGTTATGTAGATACTGAATTTAAGTTTTTATATAATTAATTTTAAAAAACTTCAGTGGATTTCAATAAATTATTTTGTATTAAGAACACAGTAAATGTTTAATAATAATAAATTGACGGTAATATACTTACGTGAATAATGAATTTGTTAAATAAAAGAAAATTACTAATTGTTTTGTAAATTTTTTTTTTTATTTTATCATTCAGTTATACATATTTACTTTTTTATTTTCTATCTTATTACTAAAATGTTCGTATTTGAGCGTTTACGTTTAAAATTTATTTTTATTTATCGCCTAAATTAATCATTATCGTAGTGGTACAAAGTATAATTTCATAATTATATAGTCTAAAGAAATTGATGTACTTCATCTGAGTTAAAAAAAAAAATATATATATATATATATATATATAAATCATTGACGTATAATTAAATAAATATATAACTTACAGATGAAATTCTCAGAGAAATATCAATTATCACTATTGAATATATAATAGAAGTACAATCTGATATATTTTTATAAAATCTACGTATATTTAAATTTAATAATTATAAATGTATATAACTATGAATAAAAAAATTTAAAAAAAAAAAAAAAAAAAAAATCTTATCGAAATTTGAAATCGCAAATAATTATAGTATTCATTCCTCGTTTTTAAGTTAATACACTTATAAATAATTTTATACAATTAATAACAATTAAATTAATTGATGACAAAATTTAATAACTTTGCAAATATATGAAAATTATTTGGCATAGCCTTATTACTTCATGTGATTTAAACGAAGAATTATTTTCGTTTACCAAAATTCCAAAATTCTTTATTATTTAAATGTAATTCTGTACAATCTGTAATACAATAAAAATGCAATAAGTAAATTAATCGTAACATTGCATCTAATAATATATCCCATTAGTGATAAGGTAATAAATTTACATTGGGCAATGATTAATGATAAGTATACACTGCACATTACGGCTGGTTTATTATTATTTCATAATTAGTTATACAGTTTGTACGCCTGTGTATTATCGTATCACGATAACATGATAATTTCAAACAACTTTAAAGAACGAAAATTGTAATTTGTGTTTTTCATAATTCTCTTAAAAAACGCGGAATCAATGAATTGAGAAAGTAATAACTATTTTCAATTTTACAACTAGTAATTAATTTAAAAATTAATCTTAAATCTATATTTCATAGGTAGAAAATTACTATACAGATATAATTTATTGATACATATTTTTACTAAGAAATACTTAAAAACTCAATTCAGAATTGTGATTAAAAAATATGTTACAAGGAGTCAGCTTTTCTTAACTTTGGCATTTTGTATTGCAGTAAGGAAATACTTCATTTTGCCTGCATTATTACTCGTTCGTACCACCAATGAGTAACGATCCTGGTTATTAACTAGGAGTATTATAATAATAAAGCTATTGCATTATCTATAGTTGTCTCGTCACCCTGAACCATAGCACATTAATTCATACATACCGTCAGTGATCATAAATCCAAAGAATATTTGTAAAGAATATATGCGTTTTATATTTCTACGCATACACGCCTGTATGTAGTAGCTATTACATCACGGTACATTTACTGTCTCACGTACGGCAACTGTCGTTGTTATCGCGATAATAAGGAAAGGCATGAGTATACTCGAGTAGCTATAATGCTCTTTGTCAAATTCATTACCACAGTTAACTAGTACGATGCTTACGTGTTGCGATTCTCGCATTATTGTACATTTGTTCCTTGGAATATATCTCTATCTGTGTATATATATATATATATATATATATATATATATATATATATATATATATATATATATTTATATATATTTAAATATGCATACTTCTCATACGCCCGTATACACATATAAGTATATACACACACACGGTAATATATGCGTAGGTGCACATTCATATATGCGTATTTATATTTAAACATAAACACACGCGCACATACACTTTACGTATCGAACATCGCTTGCTGGGATTTTCTGTTAAAAACAGTCGCTAAAACTTTTAGCGCGAACTTAACTAATTAGAATAAGACATGACAATTATTTTTTGTGTATTCGCACCTCAGATCTAATTTAACGAAATGCACACGATTTTTCCTATTTTCTTTTATTAGCACGAACTCTTCAACGAAATTATCAATTGTAGTACCTTAAGTTTAAACTTGCGGTTTCTAAACCTTTCCCTGTATACACCAGCATTAGCTTACCATTAAAAATAATCTCCTTTTCAAAACAATGCTTTACGATTCACACACTCTCACTGGCAATAAAGGAACATCGAACGTATCTCTGGCTTAGGAATCCTTAAGACGGTGAAACATTTTCAATAATTAGAGAAAATTAACTCTTTCCAACCGTCTTTCCAAGCACACGCACAAAATACAAATAAATTACATACATTTTGCAAATTCCTTTTGGCTATGAATTATATCAAATACTAATTCGATGCTAATTCTTGTATTATTCTCATTGCCGTTTCTTTCGCTCACATTCCTGTCGATTATCTGCGGCTGTGCCTCATCCGTCGCATATTTTGTTCCATGACTAGAAACATCGTTTCATCCGTCATTTGGTAAAAAAATAATGTATGCGTAAGGCGAAAAAATATCTTTAGACAAGTAAATCCAGAGCCGGGAGAGGTGGGCCGGAGACCGTCCGTCCAATCGATTAATCGATAAATCGAGCAGCCCTCGAGGAAGCACCCCACCCAATCTCCGGGCACGGCTAAATTCTAAAAAAAACTTCTCTTTACGCCCGAGTGTACATTGAACGGTAGACTTGTAACAGCTGATGGAATTCGGGTTTCTCGTCGGCTAATCCATCTCTCAATTGCAATGTAGCAGCTGAGCGCAATGGCGGCTAAGCTTGGAACGATGAGGTTACGCATGAAGAATCGAGAGTGTCGCAGAGGCGCGCGGTCGTGCGGCAGGTAATAATCGCGCGTAAGGGAATCTCCGGATTCTAGTTGGCCTGCTCCGTGCTCTGGGCCTGCTTCTCGATTTTCCTAGCGAGCTCGGGACTCATGTGCGGGTGCGGGTACGGCACGATGGGCTTGCGCAATATCGTCGGTTTCACCTTCACCTGCGGCTTGAACGATGAGACCTGCATTTGGCTACCCCCGGTCAGGTGCATGTCCGCGAACTTGGCCGCGATCTTGGTGGTAGAGCGCGAGGGCATGGGCGATCTCAGAGCCAAGCTGCCCTCTGAAATCTGAGTCGAGCTCATCGAGCGCACGATGTCCTCGGATCCGTTGTTATCAATCTCGGATTCGTTGTCCAGGCCGTGCCGCGGCTGCTTCCCGTTGTCCACCACACCCTTTGTGTTCTTCTTCAGCGTGCATTGATTTTGTTTAGCGAAACGTTCAGCCGCGGTGCTCATGTCGGGGGACTCGGGACCCGGGGTCGCGAGATTGGCCCCTTCGGGGAGGGAGGCGCGGCTTGGGCTCTCGTCATCGGAGCCGCTGAGGCTGCTCGTCGAGGCAGACTTGTTGCCGGGATCCTGTGCCGAAAGTGGCAGATCCATCACGAGATCGGGCGTGTGTTTCTGGCGCATGTCGCGGAGCTCTTGATACGCCCGGAAGAAATTTGAGGTGGATGACATGGGGGGGTTGAGGTGTGTTTGGGAGGTAGCGCGTCTCTGCCAGAGTTCTCGATTAGCGGAGAAAGTCGTGTGCTCCTGGAAGTCCTCGGAGTGGCTGGTAGTGGAAGTATTATTGGCGTGACTCGACTGTACGACTCCGGGGCCGCTATCACCGACACTCTGCGACTTCCAGTGCTGTTTGCGCGCCGCTCCGCGCTTCTTTTCGGCGTCGATGAACGACGCAAGCTTCTCCGACTCCTCGATTGCTTCGTCACTGTCCGAGGGCTTGGGAGACGACACCGAGCTATTCGTTGCCGTAAAATCGACCGTATCCTCGGTATCGGTGCCGTTATCTGTGGATGCTAATGCACTGGTCATCGACTGATCCGGTCCATTGCTTTCCTTCCCAGGGCTGCTAGCCCTAGCTCCCCGCGTTGTTGTTGTTGTTGTTGTTACATCCTAAAAATAAGAAGAATTCTCGATTTTATATGGTTGTCAAGGGAAGTGGAAAGTGGGGAGCGAAATTTGCCTTGAAGGGCATACTGGCACTATTCCTATTGCTTTACATATAATGAACGTCATAGAGGGCCAGTTGGGGGGGGGGGATGTATCTTTTTTCTTTTTATTTATATATTAATGTGCGTTTGTTGGCCTTGAGATGACGTTACATATTTGATCGTTGATACGATTATAAAGTTTGATGAATCCAGCACTGTATGAGTTGTAATTATGAGATCTTAAACGTATCTTAGACGATACTGACAAGGTATTAATTAATTAATGCTTGATATTTGTAATAATGGGGGCTCGAAAGAAAAAGAAAAGAGTGAAAAAAGACGTAGTACTGGAAGGTAAGAACTCGTAAGGCTATTAGAACATAAATTTAGTAATCATGCAAATAATGGATGAATGGCATGCAGAAATTTACCACAGCGCAATGCAATATAAATGGATAGAAAACTGCTCGTAAAACTGAGGCTAAAGTAACACTAAATAACGATCACACAAAATGAGTGACAAATTTATCTAATACCTACATGGGAAATATTGCAGAATTTGCCAACCCTGGCAGAAAAAGATACGTTTTGACGTATAGAATTATTATCGTTTCACAAATTTTGCTAATATATTCCATACGAGTGTCAGGTCGTGTATTTAATCCAATTTTCAATAATTGAAAAATGCAATTTTCCGCCAGGGAAGGTCGATGTTGTTAGTTTTTAGCGGTATAAGGGCAAGGCTTTTCTTTACTCACCTAAGCCCAATGAGAGTCCGTCGTCAAAGCAGTTCCGACAATCGACATTCCCTTTGGTATCGTCTATGGATTGACATTGTTCTACAGGATTCTAGGATTCACAAACCAACTGAACTGTCAAATTGACATTCCTTAAAAGAAATCAAAAACACAAAAGGAAAAAAGAAAACCACGCAACACTGGCCAGTTATTTTATCGAAACAGTTTTTAGTCCGTTAAACAATACTGCAGCAGAATATCTACGTACATAAGACTTTTTTTTTTGTTTTGTTTTTTTTTTGTTTTTTGTTTTTTGTATTGCGTCTTCTATTAGACAGTGCTGACTAAACGTATATCTGGAAACACAGCAACCAACCCAACCAATTAACACTGACAATTTTAGAGGATAAAGTGGAAACACAAGGCATACAGAACAAGGCTTCACAAGACATAAATAGGCTCATGCAGCAAAGAAAATCTGTATATTTAAATTTTATTTACATAGTTATTGTACAAACAATTCGAGACTAATACGTTTAGCAATAAAACTATAGCTTCGTTTCCATTAATGTAACATCCACTTTTAAAACTACGTCCATTCCTTTCCACAAGGAAGATTCACTCGAAACGTATGATCAGCGATACATCGGCACAAGAGGATAAATTAACTTTATTGCGACTGTTTCATAACAAGCATAATGGTTCTCTCATAAAGTTCAGTCTTTCGAGTAGAAAATATAAACGGCTCGTAACGCGCATTTCACAGCAACATTACAATATATATATATATATATATATATATATATATATCGTACCAAAATAAATATAAAATCTGCATTGTATCGTTTAAGTGTCTAGTGTAAATTATGTAAATCGTGTCACGCGATTATAAAACTAAGCTGTGCATAGCAGTGCAGGTGCGCATTTGGCAGGAAATGGGCTCTTATAGGTCGAAACTACAAACATTGCATTCCAATAGTAATACTGCTTCGACGCACGTTCCATAATTAACAAATAATGACAAATAAACAAAAAAAGAAAAAAAAAATCGAAGAAAATATAGCAAAAAAAAAAAATAATAAAACAGCCATGCACCTGTATATGTAAAACGAGTAACTGCTATAATAAACGCTCAACGTTATAAAAAGCGAAACGGCTTATGGAGATGTGTGTGATATAGAGATCATGTTAAACTGTTGTTTCCAATACCTCACGGCTAATGATGGGCTGTGACGAGGACGTGACGCAGGGTATATTCGATACAACTGTTGGCACGATCGAGCTGGTGCTTGAACTATCTGATTGTGTGTTATTAGTGGCCAGTGCCATTTCACAGGCTACGACTCCTGGCCAAATATTTACGTTACTACTTGGTCCCATCAAGGGCGAATTGTTACTCGATAAAACACTGTCGGCTGAACTTGATGCTCGCCTTCTCATCGACTCTTCACTCGATGACGATTTCAAATCTTTATCTCGCTCCTCATCTCTGAAAAATATTTGCTTTTAGTGTTGATTACTGTATTCCTTGCAAATAGTGATAGTTGCGTTGCGTAACTTTATCGCTACGTATAAGCCTTATACTTACTTTATCTTGAGCATGATATATTTGTCGGGGATGAGACCTTCTCTGCCTGCCAGTGCGCCTCTCCACCAATCGTTGCTTACTTGCGTGTATAGCGTTAACGTATCGCCCTTCTTGAAGCTAAGTTCTCTTTCGGATCGCGCATTAAAATCGAACTGCGCTGTAGCCTCGAGATTCTCAGATTCTATAGGAAAAAATAGATAAAAAAAAAAAAAAGAAGAAAAAAAGGAGGGAAAGAAAGAAAAAGAAGGGCCGTGAGGTTAAAGTTTTTTCGATCTAGTTTCAAGTCACATAATATTTAACGTTAATTATTACCGTCTTCCGATGGATAAACTTCCGAATCCATATCTTCTTGCACCTGATCCGTCGGTGAATCTCCCACGTCTCTGCAAAAAAAAAAAAATCCAAAAACACTCATTTAACGCATCCGTGATTATTATGAAATATCGTAAATTATCGAGTTCTCGACTTACACATCATCAGGCTCTCGACTAATATATTTTTCGTACTGGATACCGCCAATATCATCCGGGAAGATTTCTTCGCAAAGAGTGATAATATTTTTAATTAACTCGTTAACTTGATTCTGATATTGTACTTGGTCCTTGTCCTCGGGAACGGGAACCAATGTCGGCCCGAAGCAAATAGCCAAATTATAGGGGTCCATCATATTTTCGTCGGAAAATTCAGAAAGACTGCGATAATACAAAGAATAAAAAGTAATATGTTAATACGGCTAATATATGACAAACTGACAATGGATAAAATTGTGAAAATTGTCTCACTGATTAAGAAATGCAAAGAGATATCGCATGACTATGACTACCGGCCTTGGAAGACTCGAAATAACTGCCTTCATCTTCGTGACAAAATCTTGTTTGGAATCTAATTGCGCGAGCTCCATAAGCTGCTCAAAGTAAATTATCGGAAAAATTGGCTCTCTCAATTCTCTCAAATACAATTTTAAGACGCCGGCCACGCTGTTAATGTCAGATGCGTCCGTCATGTCGGCAAGAGGATCCTCGCCCCTTTCAAACCACTCTCTAAAATTATTAATTTCTACTTGCGAGCCAGATACCCTAAATATTCCTTGATGATGAAGACCGTATAAATTGATTACCCTGATGCAGCTTTTCATGATCAGGGGTATTTCTTGATTCGTACTCTCCAAGTACTCTTCGAGCGAGCCCCCAAATAACTTTGGCTGTCCGTTCATTTGCAAACGGCCGATTCGCTTTCTGCGAGCTTGTTTCTGCTTGGTTGCCGAGATCGATGGATTGGGGCTCGAATTCGAGCCCTCTAATAAACTTTGGCGGATATATTCCTGCTTGGCATCTAGTCTCGCTATCCTTGACGTCCCGAGCAGGTATTCCCTGAATTTCTGTGAAATAACAACGCCCACGGTTTAAAATTATGGCTTAACCGCACTTGCGGTGTTACAATACGCTGAATTTGTGGGAGGAGAAT